GGAGCCGCACCAGCACACAAGCGCGCCCAAAACTGACTGAAATAAAGGTACAGAAGGACGCTTGAGATGTAACCAAAGAGCGTCCTAAAAGTATATGTACGGTAAATATGTGCACATACGGTGCACACCGCCCCTTCCGAAAGTGGCAAGTACCCCTTATCAGGGTGTGTGCACATGGATGTGGTGTACACAGGAGCGACTCCCGACTGTTAAAGGGAACGTCCCAAAAAACGTGTGCACAACCTATGTGCGGTGAAGGAATGTACCGTAAACAATGGAATATTTTGTGTATTGGGAGAAAGGGTGGGGGAAAAATTTGTAAACAGAAGTTTTTGTGTTTGTTTTGGATTTCTGTTGTATTAAATATTATAAATATATATTTTCAAAAAAAGATGGGCTGAATGGTTTGTGCTATAAATTGATGTGGTTCTTGTTCCCAAATACGTAAAAAACAAAAAAGTGGAATTTTGTTTTGTAACCTTTTATTGTTGCAAATCGATACAAGTTGATGATGATAATCCTTACATTTGAACGAGTGTCATTCATGTTCGGAGACTCTCAAAGCACTTCACCAGATATACTGTAAGGTATAGGGACTATGTATTTTGTAGCCAAATGCAGCAGCCAATTTGCATATAGAAATGTACCATAAACAGCCTTGAAGTGAGTGCCCATTCTTTATCTGGCAGTTCAAGATCCATGCAACTATAGTTTCTGTCAGTTGTGCACAAATGAAGATCTCTGTGGATTTTATATTGTCTGTGGTTTCTTGTTTTGATATTTTCAAGTTTTATTTTTTTTAAGTGGGTAACACAACCATGCCGTAAGTTACGCTTAAACTGAGCTGGGCTGAGTCAGAGAGAGCACTTGATTTGTCCCATAGCAAGAGCCATCTTCTAGAGTTTCTAGTACTAGACACACAATGTGAAGTTCTGCCTCGAGCCAGAGAAATGGATGCACCGACAGGCTATGTATGAGAAATCAATTAGATGCCCCATGTCGAACAGGACCGTTAGAGGCTCAGATTACAGTGAATGAAATTACTATAATCACAATAAAAATAAAATGAAATTTAGATGCATTTTGGCAACTACTGTTATTTTGTTGACTTCTGTGCCAGCCTAGTTTATGTTAATGTTGGCTTTTGTAGCTCATTCCCATGGCTTGCTGACGTTTAAACAACAAATTACATTTATACAGCTCCTTTCATTTTGAAGGATGGGATCAGTCGGGAATTTGGACCTGATCAGGAGGGGTGGAGGGCAGGAAGGGTAGGGTAGGAGGATGTCCGCATGTGCGGTCGAAGAGGAGGATCTTGGCATCGTGCTCTGGGACTCTACCCTGCCTGAGTGGTGCTAGATAAATGCAAGTTGTTGTTGAAATTCACAAATGTAAGATTCCAAAATGCCATCTTTCAAATCCCCAAAGTTGGCAAAGACTGGCTGTTTGCTATCCGGCTTTGCTTGGACTTTTCAGGTATTTGGGCGAGCAGCTAAAAAGGCCTGAAAGAAAACTCCAGCTGCAATCACAAATGGGAAGTTTTGTTCATTGCTGGGGTTTTGCTTTCAACAATTTTGTTTTTAGCTGACCAAAGGCCCAGGAAGCATAATACCAACCTGTTTTCTGCCTTTGATGACTTGAGCATTTGAAAATTGATTTGTGTGCGTGTGAATTGTAAACTAGAATTTGCAAATCACCATCACAAATCCATTTGCGACTATTGCGTTTTTAGAACTCATTGATAATTCTAGATCTGTTTCTGTTTACTGCTTTTAGCCTATGCATGGAATTCTGTACCCCTGAGTCATTTTTTAGGCAGCTGCAGCTTCCTGATGCTGACTCTGGGTTTCTTGGCCGTTTCAAACTGATTTGTTAATCTTTTTTTTCTAGGTCAGTGAAAACAGCTTGAGAAATCTTTTGGAGTATTTGGAATAGGAATCTATGTAGGAGGTTGACTTTGAGTACACTAATAACTTGGGAGGCTTTTTCAGCAGCCAGTGATGTCAATGCTAGCCCTGACCTTTCTCAGCTGACTTCCAGCATCAACAGAACAACACCTTCTGTTACTACAACTGAAAAGCTTCCCATCTGACCAGAAAACTCTTGACTGTTCATCTCCCATAAAGAAACCACCAAATTAGTCTTGTGGGAACTTGATCTTTGTTTCCATTTATTCAGAAAATGAACGCGCAGCAAAAACAACAACAATAAATTGCATTTATATAGCTTTCAGGTCGGGAGGACGTCCTGAGTCTGAGAAGAACAAGATCTTTTGCGAGATTGTGTGGTGGGACATTTGGGAAGCATCGTTTAAGGTCTCAACCTAAAATAAAGGCCTTTTTTTTTTTGCAAGCTTGTTGAGAAATTGGAGAAACTCAGGATTAACATCATTATGTTAGTCTGTCAGGCGTTTAATGTGCAAAAGGAAGCACGGTATCAACTTGCCACATAAGCAAAATCGCTATCATTGCTCTCTGGGCCTTCCTCCAGAAAATCAACTTGCAGGTTGTTAAATAAAAATTGAGTTTTCCTTTGGGACCATTTCTGATCACAATTTTATACCCCTCTCCCGCTTTAAATGGTGGGAAAGAAAAAAAATGCAAAAATGTTAACATGCCAGGGGACGTTCTGGAGAAATTCCCAGGGAACAGTGAATGATTTTGTTTGTGTGCTAAATGTGGTGCATTTTATTTCTAAATATTAGTTTTACTTTTTGTCTGCTGTGAACAGTTGGGGTTCTGGCCAGTGGTTGCTTTGATGTACAGTGATTTGGCAAAATGAGGCAAACTTTTATGTGACGTGTCTGCTGCTGCTTATCAAAACAACTAGAAAGATGGATGCTGTTGCAATCCTATCTGCCCACCCACTTCCTTATCCACAATCCCTTTCACCCGCTCCCCCATGAGTCTTAACAACAGTTTACACACAGCTTATGTGGTGACGGATTCAGTACTTTCATTCCTCTGACTAGAACGGTCTGTCATGCATTTTCCGTTTAGTTTTCTCTAGTCCCCAATTGTGCAGTGCTTCAGTATTAGACAATGCAGGACCTGTTTGTGGACACTTTATTCCCCCCCCTTCCCTATTCTCCATGCTTTTCTTCCTCAGTATCAGAATGTTCTGAAACATTCTGCACAATGCCAGGCTTTCAGATGTTTCTAAACCCTATTTCATGAAATGTGTGCTTCAAGCTTCTTTATTGTTATGTAGGAGGGGAACGAACGAGAATAAAAATGGGACTGGTACCGATAGACATTTCACCTGTTAATGCCTTTGATTGTAAGATTTAAAAAAAACTTGTCAGCATAATTTATTAAAAAAAAGGGTTTTAGTGAACCTTTGGGGGATTTTACTGTATTTGTTTTATTCAGTAATGATAAAGGTACAAACAGCGAGGTAAATGTGGACATTTTCCACACTTAGAAAAGAAGGTATTATTTGTGAAAATTCATGCCTTAGAAAAAACAAGATTACATTTGTATAGCGCCTTTCACGTCGGGAGGACGTCCCAAGGTGCTGAACAAAACAAAAAAAAGTACAAAGCTAAGAAAAAGTTAAACTAATAAGACTATTTACAGCGGTGTGCAAGATTGACTATGTTAAAATCTCTATCACTACCTTGATCGAGTCTTTGAACTGATTGATGAGATGTCTGCTGGTGCTAGGAAGATGGGATGGGGGGAAGGAAATTTCTTCGAATTTCGATAGTTTTAGCCTGCAATGTATAAAGGGCTGCTGGATATTTGTTAAATCTTTGGGAGGAACGTACGTAGGTAGTGTTTGGGGGCTGCTCAGGGAGCCACAGGTCTCCCTCCACAACCCATAGGGTGCTGATCATAATGGAATTGCTGCATGTCTCCTCAGGGTGACTTCCAGGGCTGATGTACAAGAGAAAGTTTAGGTGTATTAGGTAAACTACCTTCAGCCCAATCCAGGGAGTGCAGGATCTACATAGTTCTAAGACGCAAAAATTTTAGGTTTGGTATCCTAGTTATTTTGATGCAGGTTGGGGAAGATGTGACTCCTTCCCTTTGATGAGTTGGAGTCTATGCAATGACATTTTCTGACCTTTCCTGCTCATGTGGACCTTGATATTTATTGTTCAGGTGTTGAATACTGAGGTAAGTATTCAAATTGGTATCATCTTAACCATCTAGTAATCGGGGTGGTATATTCATCTTGATGGCACTGTCTTCTCAGAAGAGGCTGTTTATCTTGTCTCGCTCTGGCTAATAAGGGAGAGGGATAGTCTTTCCTGCAAAGGTCACCCGTTGACTTGCCAGCTTGTTCCCTAGGTATTTAAAACTTTTCTGAGTTAATGCCAATCACTGCATTCCCCACCGAATTGACAGAACACCATGAAATCCAGAAGAATACATTGTGGATTGTTGCACAAATTTATAATGGGACAATTTCTGTGAACTTCGAAGTATGCATTTGAGTTATCCCCTTGTTTCTGAATCCCTAATAATCACTTTATTATTTTAATAAATTTCCTGCCTCCCTGACAATGAGTAAAGCCAAAACTACAAGAACGCAGAAGGTAACTTGATGTGCTCAGCAACATTTTAATATTTAAAACAAAACCTCTAGTGATCCATTCACAAGATGGATAATAGTTATAATCTATTGCCTGAATATGTTTGAAATTGTAATTGGATGTTTCTGTTTATTCTGAGAATTTTGACAGTAGAGTTATGATCCTTTCATCAGTAATGGCTAAAGAAGAATAGAAAAGTAATTTTGTGAAATAATCCTCTTGGCCACAGTGGATATTGTTAATTATGATTCTGAGAGCACATCAGACTTGCTGTTGATGGGAACTACGCCCAGTTGAAATACCAAAATATGTTTTTCCTTTTTTTTGAGGTAGACCAATTTAAGCTCAGCGCCTTGGGACGTCCTCCTGACGTGAAAGGCGCTCTATAAATGGAATCTTGTTGTAAGTTAAGACATTGGTAGTTTTGTTACAATAAACGCTTTTTGTCCCTTCCTTCCAGGTGTGTAAATGAGTATGGAAGATTATGACTACCTATTTAAAATTGTCTTGATTGGAAATGCTGGTGTGGGAAAAACCTGTTTAGTACGAAGATTTACTCAGGTAAGGAAAGTGTCTCCCCCATTACATCTCTGAAAGCAAAGGGCTGAGATTTCCACTGAAGTTGTGTAGAGTCATTGCAGAACATCAGTAACTACAGACTTCCACTGATAGGAATTTCACCTCTTTCTGTGTCCACTGGCCTAACTTTAATCACTTCCTGGTAAACCAACTGTTGGTTACCTGTTGCCTACAAATATAATCACTACACTTTACAGTGTATCCTGTGAAGTGCCTTTGAGACATCCTTGTGAAATGAAAGGCACCACTACCCTGGCTTACTGGACTCCACATGTCCACAATTTGGACCTAGTTGGAATGGGCCCGGTCCCGCAGACTCCCACCATGTAAACTCCTAGTGCACGCCTTCACCTCACCGTCCTTACTGGCCTTCAGTAGCCAGGTATCAACTTTATTCAATTTGAATCTGCGAGCAGAAGATGCTTTATTAGCTATCTTCTGCTTATCGGATTCAAACAATTACAGGGCCTTGACCTTCATTTTTCGGCACCGAAAAAAGGCCTGTAAAGCCTGTTAACGGCATTGTAATTACACTTAACTGGAATTTCCAGTTCGTGAGACCAGATCCACCGCATTAGTCTGGCAAGTCTGGTATATCAAGTGGAAGGATTATTTGTTATTATATTAAATAACTTGCCTTTCACACCCATGAACCTATGATCTCTTATGTTCCCACTTCTATTTGGTAGCCTGAGGATGGCATTTGTCTCTCTTCCAGGTGCAGATTGATCTGATTTTTAATTTTAATGATGTATTTGATATTTGTGCGCTGCACCAGCTGCTTTCTTTGTTAGCATGAGAATACTGGGTACTCCCTTGGGCACCTAATTACTGTGCACTAGTTTGCTCTTAGTATTGCTGAAGGTCGCCAGTTTTCACCTCTAAGCCTTTTGGTGCACAATTTTGCCCGCTATGCATTCACCCAGCTGAAAGTGTGGCCAGCAATTTGTTCCAGGGACTCTGCCAGGTATCACACATGAGCCATTCATTCAAGTGTGTAAGAGTGCACAAGAGGATCTTATATAATCCTTGCATTTGATATAGTGCCTTATAACGTCTTCGAGACATCTCAAAGCCCTTCACAGAATATACTGTAAAGTGAATTGACTGTATATTTTGTGGGCGTAACACGTTGTCATCCAGGTTTTGTTTTCTATTTTCTCTGCCTCCCTGTGGATAAGTATCTCACATCTTCTTGGCATCTCCTATCCCTGGCACTCCTTAAATTGGAAATGAGCTGTGTAGGGAATTATGGGTGTGAACCTGTGTCCTACTACTCTGGAACAATGCACCAGAGGACAACAACAACAACAACAAGATTCCATTTATAGAGCGCCTTTCACGTCAGGAGGACGTCCCAAGGCGCTGGGACAATAGGCTGTGCCTATTTACTCTACTATTTTTAGCTGCTGTCATTGTGGTATTGTTTATACATGCCTCTGTTTTCCTCCCAAGGCTTTGGGCAGTCAAGGGTTTGCACCTGAGCTGGGAAATCAAGAAGGGTGGAGGGTAGGTGGGTGTGGGAGCGGGGGCCGAAGACATATTCAACGAGGAAGCTCTTGAGATGTTCCTTGAAGGAGGCAAGGAAGTGGGCGAGGCAGAGGGATTCCAGGATGTAGTCTTTTTCCTTTACTGAATTATATATAGTATGACTGTGGTCTATTCTGATCTCAGTAATAAAATCTGTCATACTGTAAAAAGACTGCACACATTCTTGTTTGCCCAGCTCAAGACACAAGAATCTGATTTTAAAAAAGGCAAGGAAAAAGTTGGTGTGGGCCAGCAAAGAGTGGAGAAACAGGCGGGGAGTAATTGACAAAGGAGTTTAAATTAACATGAAGAAATATATATATGTAGATTGAGATTTAAGAAAAATCCACTGTCAATTTCTGATCAGTCTTATTTAATCTTTCAGCACTATAATCTCTGATAATGTTAAGCATTATGGTTGACTTTTCCCTAACCTTTCTTTCCTGCACCATAATTGATTCAGATATGATGGGGTATATTTTTTAAAATATTCCCCAGTGTACAATTAAACACACTAAGGCTTGGACAATAGTACAGATCTACCTTGACTATTTTTCCTGGAGGGGGACAGGGCCGATGAGAATGTTTTTAAAATGTTTTAACTGTACTTAAAATCAACATGGCACATGTTAAATGTTATGGAGGAAAGGAATAGAGAGGATGAATGTTCTGCAGTTTGAATCTTGGGGATGGATGATTTTTCTGTATTTTTTTTTAATTACCTTTGTGATTCAGGGAATATCAATGCACCATATTCCCACAGGATAAATTGAGCGAGTGGGGTGAAGTTCATGATAGTTTTGGCTTATGTGATCTATGAGAGGAGCAAGCTCATTACAAGGTACTAGTGTGTAGCACTTGTAGCCAAGACGATTGCTTTTGGGCATGCTGTGCACACTCAGAAATTAGTAGTCCACAAGGCTCCGAGTGTGCTTTATATTGTAACAGCCACAGCTGGAACTGACAACATGAGTGAAGTCTGGCAAACATTGTACTGAAATTAGTTTCTTCTGGAGGTTGGAGCTCATCAAGTGTAACGAGCAGATATAGGTGATGTGGCACTGGTTTCGATGTTGCTTCATCCGCCTGGGTAGATATAGTGTAATCAGTTTCACACCTCTTCAGGTGTTATTACCTTCATGTTAAATACAGACACACCACTTTACAGTATATCCCGTGAAGTGCTTTGAGACGTCTCGGTGACATGGTAAGGCTCTAGATCAAATGCAACAATTATTATTATTGAATATCCCCTAAGGAGCATAGTCTTTCTTAAAATAGTGCCCTTTTCTAGAAATGGGATTAAAATAGATAATGTTAAAATGTGGCTTGTTGCAGACTCAAATCTAACACTGTTATAGCTCGTCAAACAACTGTAAAGGAAATACTGCGACAGGAATTTATTTTTTGCCATCCTAATCTGTGTTTAAAGATAAATTTGAGTGTCAGCCTGGCTCAGTTGGTAGCACCCTCACCTCTGAGTCAGAAGGTAGTGGGTTCAAGCCCCATGTTGGGACTTTAGACTCATATATATTATCTAGGATGATACATGAAAGGTACTATATCTAATGCAAAACTATTTTTTTAATTATTAATATGGAGCCTAGTAATATGGATATTTTGGCTCTTGGATGTTGAGCTTATTGATTGCTTGGCGGTCAGTGAGGGACCCTGACCTTTTCCTTCCAATAGCCCAGGGACACTGCAGCCACTTGTAATTCCACACCACTGCCCCAGTTGTGCCACACAAGCTCAGGACAGACTGAACCGAGCCTGTACTTCACTGGCCTTTGTGGGTCAGCATCATATTTACAGTTTACTGGTACAATTTGTATATGTGTTTGCCTACAAATACATAATAACTGAACTGCAATAATTTCAAGTTTTAGATGGTATGTCAAATGCAAGCATCATTGTTATTTTGCTTTCCATTACTTGTATTTTTTAAATATCAATGTTATTTCTGGAATTCTATTGTTGAAGGTCTGTGCATAGTGACCTTGTACAAGCTGATGTGTTGTCTCTTTGCTTTTTTCAGGGGCTATTCCCACCTGGTCAAGGTGCTACAATTGGAGTTGATTTTATGATTAAAACTGTTGATCTAAATGGCGAAAAAGTGAAGGTTTGTATCACTAAAATCTTTATCCACATTTTTTTCTGATTCCCACTGTGAATAGGACAATATTGTTTTACTGAGAATTGTAGAATCATTCTATAGTGCCCAGATATTTCAGATTGCATGATTTGGTTAATTATGTGAGAGAAACCTTTACAATCAGTTAGAGATGCAGCTCAACAGTCAGACTCATTTTTAAGAAGGAAGTGATTGACTTGTCCTTTGGTCTTAGAAACTGCTGTAATCAGTATTATTTCCTAAGGGGATGTGTTATTTTAATTGGAACTTGGGTTTTGCCATCATAATTTTGAGATTCAAAAACATGTAAAAATTGTTGATTTTGGAACTCTTGTCAGGTTTCAGGTCTTTGGCCCCCCCAAAAAAGCACTGGAAACAAAAGAGCATTATATTTGGAGCTGTAATGAGCCACATTTTAACCACCAACTATTTCTATTCCTACCACATGTGTCTTATTTAAAAATGAACTACCAGATGCTTTTGCAGCCTCTTTACTGTAGGCAAAACTGTACACCTTTCTGAGGAAGCTTGTTGACTTACTGCATTAATGAGTTTCTGTTCCGTTTTCTGTGAAGGCAAAGATTGCTCGGGTAACTCTTGAAAGTGCCAGTTTCTATCCATGCAGTCTGTGTTGGTCATGAGACTGTAGTATGATCTGATCTCCGCGATAGCATTCCTGTAGTATTGATGGAAACCAAACCCAATGTAATTCAGAGCCGAAAGCTATTGCTATGTACTAATGAATTTGCTTTCTAAAGTAGAAACTTGCCAATTTTGTTCCAGTTCAACTTTCTCCTTAATCCTTTTGGCGACTCTTTTCTAAACCTTTATTCCTCCTGGGCATTCTGAGTGAATATTAGTGATATGAAGCAATTGCCAAATATCCTGGTTATGTGCATTGTACCCTAGCAACCAGGAGATATGTTGCTATCAAAAGGTTTTTAAAGACGGATAGGTCCCTTTGCCAGTGAGTGGGAAATAATATCGATTTCAACTTGCAGCAAATGTGAATAAGATGTTTAAAGTTTCATAATGGAAAATCCTGGGGTAAGGCAAACAAAGCTGTTTTGAATTTTGTCTGGAGTGTGAGCTGTGCAGGGATGTTTGAGGTCAAGGAGAGGTTCAGAAAACATTTAATGTCAGTTGGAGAGAACTTGCATTTGTACCCAATGGATTCCCTTCGCAAGACTGGATCTGTATGACCTAGAACTGTGCCCTGTCTCAATTGACACAACCTTCCTTATAAGTAGCCTCGCTACGCATAAATCTAGTTGAACACATGCCTTCAACAGCTCCAACTCCAAAGACAAATAGCAAGTTTATTTTAATGGCGCAGATACAGATTGAATCAGGTGTAGATTTATCAAACAAAGCTGGATTTTAATATAGTATTTAGCTAGGATGTACAATGTGGCCTTAGCAGTAGATTCATAAAAGTAACGCAAATTACTTTGGATTATCCTTACAAAAGTGTCCAAACAGATTCAAAGAATCTGGTGCTGGGTTCCTCAAAATTCCTAGAAGTATTCAATCGCTATGTCAATTCCTTGCCCACTGGCTACCCCAGAAACACGCTCATTCTTCAATATAGAAAAGCTTTTTTTTCCCCATGTGCCCTTAAGCTTTTGATGCCCAAAAAAGGCGAAGGAATGGTAATGCTGTAAAACTCGGATAGGCCTTTATCCTAAATCGTAAAACCCCTTAAGTCGTACATCCACCTGAGTCCCATTCAGTTTCCTATCAAAACCATTTTGATTTCTTTGCACTGGTCATATTTATCACCATGTAACTCATAACACCGATCCCCTATCATGCATTATTTCCTCACATACTGGCTGCATTGAATCGTGGAAAATTACATCCAGACCTGTCGACGCATGCACACTTACTAACTGCCTGCATTGAATCACGGGAAACAGTCTTGATCTGGCGATGCTTGTGAATTTTACACAATTCAATCCGATTGCAATGCTTGCCGGTGAGTGCAGCGACAGGCAAAACGCATTGAATTGCGGGAAATGTCACCATATGTGCACTTACCGGCTGTAGCGACGAACTACCGCATGCATACTTACTGCTGTAATTAATTACACAATCACAGTGTAGATTATTGATTAAATCAAATTTAAAAGACTTGTACAGTTGGCCTGCAACTCGGACTTCGATAAGTCATATTAAATGTTATAGTCTTGACTGATACGACTTATGTGAGTGAAGCACAACAACGCTGCCAGTTAGTGGTTTCAATTTGTTACTGGGAAAAAATGGAAATGAACTAGTTTTAAACATACAAAATGTTTTCAGTGTGTTCTCATGGTTTGAGTGTCCAAATAGTTCATCTGCTTTATGATGAATCACAATTATTATTGTTGTGATCCATCTTGCTTTCGATGCATTCCCCACACTGTTGCAGTGGAGATGGATAACTTGGGATGAGATGGATGGTATTCACAGCCTCTGTTCGGTCTTGTGGTGCCTTGCCATTGGAGAAGGCATTCTTTGGTAAACAACTCTTCTGAAATGGAGGCACCTCCCTCCACAAGCTGCAGGTCATTCAGACTTCTGCAGCTCGTGTACTGTCCCGCACCAGGCTTCGCGACCACATCACTCCCACCCTCGCTCGCCTCCACTGGCTCCCCATCCCCCAGAGGATCGAATTCAAGATCCTCATCCTCACCTACAAGGCCATTCACGGCCTTGCTCCCTCCTACCTCTCCAACCTACTATCCCCCTACTTACCTGCCCGTACCCTCCGTTCCTCTGGACACATCCCCCGCCCCAACCGCTCTACCATCGGTGGCCGGGCTTTCAGACTCTCAGCCCCCAGGCTCTGGAACTCTATCCCCCAGTGCCTTCGCCGCTTCCTCCCTTTGCTCCTTCAAGGCCGGTCTCAAGACCTTTCTCTTTGACCGTGCCTTCAGCTCCCCTCTCGACTCTCTACCCCCTCCTCGCTCCCTCCCTTCCCTCACCCTGACCATTTCCCCCCTACTCGGGTCCTGACCCAACTGTACAGCGCCTTGGGACGTCCTCCCGACGTGAAAGGCGCTCTGTAAATGCAATCTTGTTGTTGAAATGTTTAAAAGTTATGATTGATGCCTTGAAGTGTGGCCTATTTATAACTATTTTTAGAATGCAGATTTGTGATAACACTGTTGCATTGAGCCCACCCTCACTACTCAATCCCCACATGCTGCCTGGTTTTCTTTTGTGCTAAAATAGCTGATTTCTGGATCATCAGATCACTGCTGTGATCTGTGATTGATCTGTGGACCCCCGACTCTATTGAAGGGTCAGCCTAAACTTGAATGAATTACATTATAACTGGGGTTCTACTTGCGTTGTAGAAAATTCAGTGAAACACTTTGAGACCTTTTGATGTGATCATCTACTGTATCAAATACAATGTTTATTATTATTATTAATTTGGCTGGAAATCAAGCTTTTAGATTGAGTTTGCAGCCAAAATCCCAGGGCACTTTATAGTTATGGACAGTGATGCTGAATTCCGAGGGTGTGACAGGGAAATTTAAAAACAAATGTATATAAACAAGAGAACATGGAAGAAAACATGAGGTGAGAAAAGTAAGACTGGGCAAGCAGTTTAGTTGTTTGGTTGAGAACTGGTGAAATGTGTCCAACTGAGATAGTGAGTTGGCGAAAAGGCTGATATTTTAATTAGCAATTTGCTTATTTCAAACCTCAACAACTTTACCAATCAGATTTAACAGATATAGCATATCATCTCTTTAATGTGACTTTTCTGAATTTTTTTTGTAATTTCAAGTTATGGGTGGATGGTACTAGGAGTTTGTAGATTTTGGAGAAAGTGTCTGTGCAATGCAGCCTTATATAGTTAATATGATGTGATTTCTGTACTGCTCCTTTCTCTGGCATCAAACTGCAATCTGTTTTGTTGCCAAATTCTGATCGTTCTTGCCAGGGGCAAGCCTTTTTAATAATTTTTACAAAATGGCTAATATAATATGAAAAATCTGCCTAAAATGCCACAAAACTTGTTTCAAATGTAGTGTTTAACTACCAGGTTGAAGCTACCAGAATTACATTTTGTTTAACTATGTCAATAGTTAGCAGACTTTCGCATTTCATGAATAGCTTATGATTTTTTTTCCTTCCCCCTTTATTTTTTAATATGTATTGTGGCTTTGGGGGCCATGTTAAGGGATCAGATAGTTTTCAACTTCACAGCATGTAATGATTTCCATTCACAGCATTTTTTGAATTTTATCTTTTTTTCCCGCTGCCTCTCACCCTTCCTTCCCCTATGAAAAGTATATTTTTTGTTCAAAGTATTTATGCAGTTTGTAGATCGTACACATTCCCATATCAGGCCTCTAGAAATTGCAAAAGAACATATAAACCCAAACCAACACATGAGGGGAATTTTAAACAACTGGATTCCTACAGGAATGATTAATTCAAAGTAGAATAAATGAATAATAACAACTTCTGAAATTTAGAACAGTTTGTACTATAGAGGGACATTTATCTGACATTCCTGCTGGTGAGAAACAAACTGCAGTAGAAACAGAACATCCTGAGACCAAAGAGAATGCACATCGCCAGTGCCCAAATGTAGTTGGCAGCAGAAGCAAACCTGTGATCATATAGAAATCTGCCTTTTGACACAATTAGTGGAATCTACTGCTTTACTACACTGAGTTCATTTGCTGTAATAGGCTTACACTCCAATGTGATGCTGGGAGCATTTCATTGTCAGAGGTGCCATTTTTGAACGAGACGTTAAACCACCTGTCCAGGTGAACGCTTAAGATCCCATAACACTATTGGAAAAGAGATAGGAGTTTCTCCCAGTGGCCCGACTAAGAATTCCCCTGATATAATTGGTCATCCACTTCATGGCTGTTTGTGGAATATTGCAGTGTGGACATCTGCTGCTGTGATCACCTACAAAATACGCAATCATTAAACTTTATACTGAATTCTGTGAGTCACTTTGAGATGTCCTTCCAATTGCTATATCAAATGCAAGGATGATGGTTATTTTTTAATGCACTACTTAAAAGGAAAAAAGTTAGAAGACCAAGGCAAAAGATGTTATCTTGATGTTTTTAAAATCATAATGAGTACTGTAAATCTGAAATAATGCTACAGTTGCATTATTCCTGTCATTTTTATTTCTGAAATTATTCTTAAAATAATAATTTGTGCTGCACTTGTTTTGAAAATGTATTGAATGCACTACGGTTTGACTAGTGGAATAAAATTCTGCTGAGATGCTGCTGTCGTTACACAGTTGTGGGTCGGTGCTGAGTATAGGGTATGCCCCTTCCAATGGGAAGGAGGCGAATTTGTTAGGAGACCTTTGCGGAACCAGACTAATGCTATTCCTGTCAGCTGGGAAAATAAAATCTTGGCAAGTACCTTGGAACAGGATCACTGAGGGCAGTAATACATTGCAATTGGAATACAATGTTATTGTTAATAAAATATTGTGCTGACAAAAGTATTTTGATTTGTTTTACATCCTCCAGCTCCAGATCTGGGATACAGCCGGACAAGAAAGATTTAGATCCATCACACAGAGCTACTACCGCAGTGCAAATGCCCTAATATTGACATATGACATTACCTGTGAAGAATCCTTCCGCTGTCTTCCTGAATGGCTGAGGGAGATAGAACAATATGCTAGCAATAAAGTTATCACTGTTTTAGTAGGTGAGTAGCAACTATAAGTAACAACTGATTCAATAGCTAAGGAGGCTTAGAGACATACTACATATTACTATCTGACTCTCTGCAGTCCCAGTGGGAGAACGGATTTATAGTTTTTTTATAAGATGTTTGTCCATCTTTCAGACTACTTAGGGCACATTCTTTCTTCTGAACATTATAATAGAACGACAGAAGCGACTAGCTCAGAGAAAATGTTAAAAATATCCTGAATAGATTCCAGTCCACTTTGTTCATTACTTCCTTATGATTGCTGCATCTTGAACTATCTAAGGTTATCCCAACTTCCTGTTATGCGAATAGAATGAGTCACTGACAGGCAGAAGACTGGCCACCTTGCACAACTATGTTTGCACTTTTTTGCGTTTCCTGCAGCATGTCGCAAGTTGGAGCAATCCAGGAATGCTTCCCACTGAGAGCTTTTCAGACATAATTTCAGAGTGATAACTGGTTATCAGAAGTGGGGGATTTGTGTTTGCAATTGGAGAATTTCCAGCTCTTTTGAGGCTAATCTAATTGTTTTGGGATGTAGTGGAGCAAATTCTATAGTTACAGCAACTGGCAAGAGAAAGACAAAGTATTAATATTCCTAACCTTTGCTTAGAACTTCAATGAGTGCTTGGACTTGTTCAAAACACTTCTAATATATACAGAGGGGATATCATTGGCATAAAATAGTTCTTCAATTAATCTATGCTAGCATGGCATCCTCTTGTACTAGGCTCCCATCCTTCTCGCGTGAAAGACACTATATAAATGTAAATCTGTATTGTATAGGCTGAGAAGTCAACCACGTCCAAAGCATGGGTGAGAATGCACAAGCTTATGCTCGATTGGCTGAATAGCCTATTTCTTTTTCGGTATTTGTTTCTCCTCCTGTTGAAACACTAATGTAACTTCATTGTTTTGTCTTGCTCCTGCATTGTTCATGATGTTTTTTTTTCCCTCTTCCCAGGTAACAAGATTGATTTAGCAGAGAAACGAGAAGTTCCCAGGGAAAGGGCTGAAGAGTTTTCAGAGTCTCAGGACATGCATTACATGGAGACTTCAGCGAAAGAGTCGGACAACGTTGAAAAACTGTTCCTTGACCTTGCATGTCAGTTGATCGGTGAGGCAAAACACACGCTGGTCAATAACGTAGCATCTCCTTTGCCCGGCGAAGGGAGAAACATCAGCTACTTGAACTGCTGCAATTAGATCAGATGTGAACTAGCCACTGAACTAAGCTGACACACTGCAGTGATTTTGTGATGGAGAAAAAAAAATCCTGCAATTCTTACCTTATTGACCAAAGCCTGAGGTGATTTGTGGGCTTCAGCATGGCGGGCTGATGTTTAAGCAAATACAAGCATTTATGCTCCAAATTGCCTAAGCAAAAAGTAACACTACAAGATCTAGAAGTGTTAACGATTTAACTCCATCATTACAACTTTACTGTGCTTTGAAGTAGCTGCACCGAACGCTTCTTTGATACATGAAGTGTGTCATTGTGCTGATGCTTAAACAATGAAGGCTGGCATTAATAGTTAACTAGAAAGCGTAACTCCAAGATGTGCAAGAACATATTTGCAGTGTTTCTGTCCAGGTCTTGATGGTTCCATGTGTTGGGTTTTTATTTGCTCGTTTTACTTTAAGAATTGTGGCACATTGCTGATCATACATTTTGATTTCAGCATTGCATGTTTTTTCAGAAAACGACTCCCACCATTAAACCAGCCCCTAATGGTAATCAGAAATCCAGCTTTCTTCTGTTTTTCTCCATGGTGATTTTCATCACTAGAATTTAAACAAGGAACTCAGCCACTATTTTGTCTCGCTTAAAATGTTACTGAATGAACCACTTACTGTATTGCACTATATAGCAGCTGCGGTGTTTTATCATATTTAAACAGCTAAGTCCATGGTGTTTAATTCACGTTCTCTAAGTGTTGTCTTAAGGTCTGCCTTTTTTCCCTCCTCCGATTGCTATTTCTCCTCACAAGCCCNTTTTTTAGAAATGTTGGACTATGAGTATGGTTCCACAGATGGTAGTGCCCTCCATTATTTTGGTTAAGTGAACATTCTGCACATGGTAAGTGTCAGCAGATTAGGCCAACAATCTTGAGGGGGGAGAGAGAGGATCTTTGTGCCATAATACAAGTCCAAATCTTAGCGAAAATCCACACATGTAGTGTGTTGCCAGTGGGAATCACTGCAAAGCAACCAGTAGTTTTAACCCAAGCTGATCTGTTTCCTTTCCCCAGATGAGATATTGAGGCATTAGTTCATTCAGTCACTGCTGTGGATGCTGATGCTTAAAAACTTTGTTCAGTAACCTGTGTTAACATAAAATTACATAATCACATACATACCATGGAAGTTTAGTTAGTAGAACAATGTGAGTATGTGCAAGAGGGGGAGAGAAAGAAACAGCTTCATCATAACTGTTTAGTAATATGGTACCAGCCGCCAGCATTCTCATCTGCTGTTCTTAGATGAATGTGATACATGACTGAAAAGACTACAGGAACACATACCGGAAACTGCACAATTATGTTCACTAAACAGGAATACCTGTAGGCGTACTAATAGATGTGTGATCTACAGGAGCATTCCTAACAGGTTAAAATAAATTATAATAGAAACATTTAAATACACTATTGTTCTGTAGCTTTTATATGCAGTTCTAAGAAGAATTGAACAGTAAATTTAATCATTTTAATTCTGTTGGCAAGGTTGCAGCCCCCACTTCAAGTATGTTAATGTGAAGACATATTTACTCTAACTGTGCAATTCACTATTCATAGGCCCAGATGAGTGTGAACCCGTCTGGCCTTTGCATTAATCCTTTTCACCTATTTTGTTTTATTTCTACAATCCTCTTGATTTTATTTTCATCTCCTGTACTTGGCTCCCAGCTATCTCTTCTAAGTTATACTCTAGATTGTGATGCACAACAGAATTATGTAGAATGAGGGGAGGATGGAATGGTGGTACTGATCATTCAAAGTATTTCATGGACTTGTTCATTTTCAAATCATCATGATGTTTGTGGGGAGAACGAAGGAAGTGGAAATATGGAGAGAAATTCATTAGCCAGTTGTAGCGAATTTGTTTGCTAAATTGCATAAGGAAATTGAGGACAATTGTTAAATAGGCTTTCCTTCAATTCAAATGTGCCGTTTGGGAGCCTTAGTCTTTGTGCTCTTTGGGTTAACGTAATAAGCAATTATTCTAATATTGATTGATTCCCATAAGCAAATTTAATTAAACTACTTTCCCTATTAACTCAGTCTATATTCCTGTTACACCAGCAATGTTTTATATCATACTGGGTTAGAGTATTGTAGTTCTTTCCTTGTTTTTCTTCAAGTCTGATTATTGTAAACCACTTAGTATAAAAGAGTACACAATGCCTTTTGTAGCTTAACAAATAAGCAGTTCATCTCTTTCCCTCTCCTGCTTCTCCCAACAACCACCTCATGGACCATCAGCAAGAAATTATTTCCTGTGAATACTGATACTGATTAGAAAGCAATTTTCAGTATTTTATTAAAATATATAATCTTGTTTTTTATATATATATATTGATAGTGAAGCAGTTGCCACCATCGTCTTCAAAGGGTTTGTGTTGCCAGAATATCCCATTTAAAAAATAAACAGCTGAGTGGAATTCACTTTGACAATTTGGAGGGATTTTGCATTAAATTTAATTAACTTTAATGTGTCACTTCAAAAAAATCTTGCTTTTAAATCTATTTTTAAGAATGTAAATTTTATTTAAACTGTACCAAAGGTTTTCACCTTGTATTGCATTCCATTATTAAATCATATTAAAACATTACAAAGGAATGGAGAACTATGAGATTACTAATTCTTTAGGCTGGTTAATATTTTCCTTTGTGGGTAGTAGAATGGATACCTCAGAGAAAAGTAGCAGCCATTCTAATGTAGCTGTTGTGTGTCTTACAATAGAATGGTTTTACAGGCCCTAGTGGGTAAACTTGCACACATTAGTGCTTACAATGGGATTTCTCTGTTCTCAACACATCCCAGCAAAGTCGGAAATTTTACCACTAGTGTAATTTCATTCTCGCTAGTATTTTGACTAAAGAAAAACTGAAGCCCAACAATTTGTATTTATATCTCCCAGTTTTCTTTAGGGGAACATATGTCACCCACAATTGCTCTGTCCAAGAGATTAGGGTGGATGCCCTTTATTGTTCTGACCAGTGCTATTTGTACCTGGCCGTTAAGAGTCCTTTGATTATTCATTTGCTGAGAAAAAATGCCTGAATCTAACACCACTAAGTGGAGGTGTTTCAGTAACACCACTAAGTTGAGGTGTCCACTGGGACCAAACAAATGAAATGCAGATTTCAAGAGAAAAAATAGGAATGAATTTTAAACTATTAAACAATAATCTTTTGCACCATCTAATCTATTGTTTGGGATCATTACCGGATGCAAAAACCTATAACCTTTATGCCCTTTTAAAACTACAATCCCTTTGATTATATTTACACAAGAGCCTCCATGATTAATGAATCATTTCTGCACTGTAGGAAAGTGGAGAGATTACTTCATTGGTGCAGTAAAAATAATTCACTAAACTGCTTGGAAAATTTCAATATATCTACATTGTTAATGAGGAGAATGTTAAATCATTCCGGTCGAGATTTCCAATCTTATCTGACTTTATGTTGCTCTAGATATTGCTGCAGAGTATTATGTTCATTGATGCATTACTACTCCAGCCATTTCTAACAAGTAATTCCCAAGGATTTTTCATTCCAGAAATCATTCTAATTTATAATTGTTATTGCATTTTGCTTTCTGGATTCCTTCTTGAAACCTTTTGATAAATGTGAGTCAGCTTGTGATGCTCTTGATTATTTCTCACAGAGGTGTCGAATAATTTTACAAAAATGTTCTTTTCAGCAAGGGATTAAGTATTTATTTCTATAAAGAAAAAAAACTCTTTGGGTTAAGAAAAAAGATGCCTAAAATGCAGTTGACTCGTGCTTTTTCCCTTTTCCCAATCAGATTGCTTTTCTTCCACCTTCATGTTTCACTCTACTATTATCTGATAAGTGTGCCTAAAAGGAATATGTGCACATTTGTCTGTGTATGAGAGAGAGGAAGATTTAGGTTTCCTTTTTTTAATTCCGTTCCATCCCTAAGGTGTCGTACTCCGCTACTAGCAATGGTTTAAATCCAGTCATGGGTGGCAAGAGATTAAAAAAAACCTCTTTCTCCCTCCCTGCCCAACGTCTATTGTAGAGGATATTAAAGAATATTTTTTTATTGATAAATTGCTTCCCTGCTGACCATTTTCAGTTTTGGTAACAATTGTAACTTTTTTTATGCTCAGATTTTACAGTGAGAGTTTAACACCATTTCTTGGAAAGTATTTTCATGGCACTGTAATTGCCACCTTAGGTTTAGTATTGATACAGAAGTAAGGGGGCAAAGTATTTTAAAAACAAACCATTCTTGACTGCACAAATGAAAACTGTGGTATCCGGAATGTACAGATTACACATGCATGTTGCACTAATATACTCTGGGATGTGTCCTGTATTCATATTTTAGTAGTTTTGTTCATATGATTCAAAGTTTTATACAAGTTTTTTTATATGTGGATTTCTTCCTCAATTTTGCAATTATTTTAGCTGAAGAAATAAATGGTTGTTCAGTGTCATGAATTTTATCTTCCGCTCCCGTATGCGATAGGCGCTAAAACAAATGTACTCATCTTAAAAATGCTGCTGTCCATAATAATCTAGATTACTTTGGAAAATAGCATTACTTTCTGTTCGAGACTCACATTTTCACTCTCTCTCTCATCTGCTTACTTTACTCAGGATATTGTGTAATTTACTTAAAATGTTAATATCTGCTCCTTTATCTGATGTCTATGAATCAAAGGAGAGATTGCTGACCTCTAATTTGGAAATATAAACATTCAACATGTCATAATGCAGTCTTCCGTACATTGGCGAAGGGAAGTCTTAATTCGATTTCATATTCAACACTAAAACCCAAATGTTTTCCAGCAGCAGATTAAACAAAAGACTAATGCTTCTATAACACTACTTTTACCTGAAAAATACAGACACTGGTATCCATGCACACGATTACAATAGCTGCCCATGACACTACAAGGGGAGGGTTGGGAAGGCTTTGTGTCTGTTCTCCAAGATCTGGAGAGTTACAAATTACTGGCGTGATGTACTGCTGATGATTTGTTTTTACTGATTTGAAGAAAAGGTCCCGATCCTTTCGATCAGAAAATAGAATCACGGTAGAGGAGGGAGGAGGCTGCTTGATTTTTCTTTTTTTTAACAAAATGAGTGGATGTTATTGCTGGCTGGAGTTGAATTGCAAAGTAAAATCCTTGGCCCCTGGCAAGTAGCCACACTTACATCAACGTTTCCAACACTGAGCTGCCACACCAGCATTTCTACAAACTTGTGGCACCTGCACAAAGCTCTGGAACTTCTGCTGTGATTGCAGCGCAATTCTAGCATTGTAGCTGCTGAATTGACCATGATGTGGGTACATATATGTGGAATATACATTGTGAGTGGATTGTAAGAATCCCCAGGCTGTGAATAACTTCAAGGAATACTTTAAATGTTTTTTTTTCTCTCTCATGTAATTAATGATGCTGTGATTTTACAATGAAAGAAGTCTATTTAGTCTATTTTAGTCTGGTGAAGAGTTTAAAACTGGTTTGATAAAAGTAATTTGAACAGAATGTGAGCCCTGCGTTGAAATGAAATTGTTTTGCCAGACTTGCAGTCTTTTTTAGACAAACTAATTGTGAACGTGTATCAATATTTTGCGTGAGGTATCACGAAGGTCCAGTTTATGTGCGACTTCACATGCATATAGATATGACTGTCAGATCCTGCAGCTCGGGGATCCTTATTGTTGTTGCACTTCATGAAGTACATTATGTTTGCAGTTATTAAACAGAGGGTGTTGTCACAAATGTCTTGCATCAGTTTATTTTTGGAAGCAAAGTCTTTGGTTAATCTCTGCTTTGTATTTAAGGATAAAGATAATCTTCCCTCGGTGCTAGTAGGCCGTTTGATTGCAGGGGTATCGAAGACAAGCCCGATAATGTCCTCACATTATGAGTCTAGGTCACCTGATTACCTTTGTAGAGAGCACGGCTTTCACCTGCATAAAGAAGTGAGAGCAAAATAAGAGTAGAGATTGCTGCACATGTGCATTTCTGTTGAATTTCAATTCAAAGAGCTAGATGTATTTTTAAAAAATTACAATTCAATTTACAGTTGAAAGGATAGTGGGTGCTTACATCTTATATTACTTAAAAGCCAAATATCACCTGCTCTTGCCAGCAAAAATACAACCAGCATTCAAACACGGGGTAGGAGACCTGCTGAGTTTGATTACATGCAGAGTGGCTCTCCAGCACCTTCTCAAGTGGTCATTCTTTATGCATCAGCTTGGAATCAGTGGACTATGGAACCATGTGACAAGGTTAAGTTTATTTCTTCCTAGACACTCCACATGTTCAGCCAATATGTGTCAACCTGGTTTACTTTGTAGTATTCTCACCCGTCAGAAGGGTTTCTGTCCAATGTTATGATTTTGATCTGATGTAGCTAGGCTGCCACTAGTGCTGGGGTTGTGCTGCATTTTTGGATGTTCCCTCCTTCAGATGATTTGTTAAATAAAAGTCCTGTCTGCCTATTCAGGTGGATGTTAAAGTTTGCATGGCTCTACTCAAAAAGAGGAGTTTTCCTGGTGACCTGGCAAACAATTACCCAAATAAAATTGGTGCTTCCCTTCATGGGTGTTTTTTGGTCATTACCATACACAAATTGCCTCCTGTATTCGCTTACAAAATGCAGTCACAACACTTTATGGTATATCCTATGAAATACTTTGAGATGACCAAAGGGGGACGTAGATGACTTTAAAGTGGGATTTGAAGACAAGAAGGGGTGAGGAAGAGGGGTTCATTTATCTTTAAATCCCATCTTAAGATCTACCTCTTCAACTGCATGAATGGTCCCCTTCCCCCTTCTCTCTTGCTCAGTGACCAATCCCACCTTGGTCCAGTGCTCCAAGATGCTATATTAGGTGAAGGGTGCGGTATAAACGCAAGTTGTTGAGGGAAGGCGTTCCAGAGGTTACGAATGTAGAATTGGAAAGTTGGCCACAGATAATAGTACGGCTAAGGTAGAGAATGCAGAGTAGAGGGGGGTGAACAGGATAAGAGGAGACCGCTACCAACACTCTGTTGAAGTGTCAGTCTAAAAATGAGTTTTGCTTCTCCACATGGGGCTTGAACCCACAACCTTCTGACTTGGGAGGCAAACCAGGGTAAGAGTTGCCCTAAATCAGACATTCCACATAAGTATGTTACTACGCATGGAAATTTCCATGTGCTTGGAATGGAATGCACACTATCTGGAGGGATGCACTCTGTTTCTTATTCTGGAAAAGCATAAGGCACAGATTGACAAGCCAAAACTTGGGAATCAGAATGTGGAGAGTATGCATTGGTGGAATTTAAAACTTCAGAGCTCATCATTGTGAGCACTGGCAAAATTGCTGCTGTCTGTCCCAACTCAGACCATCCTACCATTGGAACTGGTTTGCAGAACCAAATGGGAAGCGACCTGCTTGGTTGAGGGAATGGATTATTGAGACCACCAAAAACAACCAACTCCAATTTTCCATTGTTAGGCAAGTCCCCTTGCAGCCAGCTCAGCCTCAAGGAGATCATGAGTGAATAATAGTGAAGTTGTGAGTTGCAAATCTCTCTTTGCTGTCTGTTTAATATTTGAAGCAAAATGTGTTTGTGCAGTCTGAATCCAGTTGTTGGAATGTGCTAGTCGATGCCCCTATTGACATGCCAATCTCATTTCCCTACTAAGGACAATCCCGAATTTACATTTATATTTGCACTGCACAGAGATGAAAAGGCCAACCCAATGTCAATATCATGTCATTCCTGAGTTTCGCTGATCTAGATTTTAACCTACAGATGCACAAATCATTGAGATTGCATTTAAATGCTGGGTTCTAGGTTTATATGAAAAGTGGCTTTTCCCCACTAAAATTACATTCTTGTGGAATGATACTTATTCTGCCACCTTGTGGGAAAGGCCTGAAGGTGTTTTTTTTTTAAAAAAAGAAAAAAATCTAAACCAATGTGGCTCTTCAGAAGCAGCTGTAACTTCCAGAATCTGTGTTAAAAAATGATTTGATGTCATAAAATATTGATGAACAACTAAAGGAATGGAATTTCTACCTGCTTAAATATATTCCTAAAATGAATGGGGAGGGGGAAGGAAAAGGCAAAAAACAAAACTGTTTAAACAGTATATGTAATAAACAGATGCTTTACAAAAGTTACAAAAACATTCATTGTCTGCTACATGCCTTGCTGAACAACTTGTAACTGAATTCTGATAAGATGAATTGAAATCATAGTTCAAATTGCAACCTTAGATGAGATACTAAAAGATTGTTGATGCCCAAGCATGACCAAAAAGGGAACATTTGCTACAAGTCGCTCTTTCAAATCGGGTATACTGTGGTATTTTGATACTGGATAACTAAAACAATTACGGAAGATAGTTCGGGTGTGACAAAATAATTTAGCGGGGATATTATATGACCGAAGAGATCAAATGCAGCACTCTTTGTCCATTACAAATCATTCCGTTAAAATGAAATGAAATAAAGCAAGTCATTTTACACTCCAACCTAACAGAAACCTGAAGCACTCTGAGACGCTACCCCGTGTGAAGGACGCTATGTAAATGCAAGTCATATAGTAGTAGTAGAAATCACTAACAATTGTTGGGGCAAAGGATCTTTAACATGATTTCTTGTCAGATGAATACAGTATAAAGTTTCCCCTTGGTCAGTTTCACCTCGACTCCACCCCCACACACACATATTTCAAGCTGTTTTAAAAAATAATGAACCAGGATTTCAATAATAAAGCTCCTTTATCATGAGTCTCTAAAAAATCTTCATATACATTATTAACCAGTATGACTTAAAACTGTTATGTACAGAATAAACAACTAATTTACCATATTTATAACAAAAGTCCAAAGTAGTTTAAAGTAATGCCTGAACAACCCCCCAAAAATTGTTTCTTTTATTTAGCACCTGATAAGAAATCTTTAAAGATATTCCTCTTCAAAAAGCTCTGCACTTGCTGTAAATAACTCTGGTGAGCAACAACTTGCCGGGTTATCTTTGATGCACAACGAAGGAGCAACAGCAAAACCAGTTGGAGCCCAGTCATTTAACTTCAAAGATTTCTTTAGTGTCCCAAATTCGTCAGTTTTGGTCTGAAAAAACTTTGGTGGTGTGACTGTGATTGCCGGGGTTGGTTTGATGTCCTTTCCTGTCAATCGCCTTTTCGTGTTTAGGTTCACCTTGTATTGCTTGCTAATGCCATTCTCTTTGTTGTTCTCTGTTATAGCCTTTGAGTCAGCAGTTTCCATAGTAGCAGTAGGAGAGTGTGAACTTGTAAACAATTTAATACCTCGAGATTTGTGAATATTGAGAACACATGAAGATAAATGAGGTGACATCACCTGGGGTTTCGTTGTTGACGGTGGAATCCATTCATCACAGTCACTTTCATAAGATTTGCTTCTTGGGCTGTCGCTTAAAAAATGGGAATTTGATGAAAGAAATGTGATTTGATTGCTTGAGGATTGCTGCTGCAACATCTTTAGAGTTTGAGGTGATTGCTGCCTTAGTACATTGTTTTTAAATAAGCCTATTGTTTTTTGTCCAAAAGAGACTGGGGTTGAACTTAGCTGAATGTGGGATGTTATCCTGAGATCTTTATTTTCCTTCCCCCGCAAGGAATTTAACCGCTGAAATCTTGAGACAGGAGTCGACTGAGAAAACGGAACAAAGTCCTGCGAGTCTGAAAAATCCTGTTCCAACACGTTTTGTGAATCATTCTCTGGAGAACTATTGTTGTCCTGGTTTCGCACAAAATTAGTAAGCCTTTCAGAACAAGATGGGGAAATCTTACATTGGTTTTGGGGCTTGCATTCACTCTTATTAAATGTTTGAAATTCGACTTCTGATTTTGCCAAAATGCACTGGTTTGTTTGCAAACATACTAACAATTGATCTTTATTGTGCACAAGGCAGGAGCTACTGTTATTGAAGAGATCCGCAGATACATTGTACTCTTGTTTGGTAGGACTGGTACAAAAGCTCTGCAATAAGGGTTTTTCTATGTTAAAAAATGATGACGGTTGATCAGATCCAGCTGTGGAATCCCTCTCCCATTTACCAAATTCCTGTTGTTTAATGCGCTTTTCATCTTGAAAGCCCAAATGAAATATTTTCTTTCTTTCTGGTAGCTGCTTGGCAGAAGTTGGTGGCGTTTGAAAAACAACATTTTTCAAATAACATCCTGTTGCAACATTACTGGATTCGTTATCTGTAGAGGTATGAACTTCAGGAAGCTGATTCAAAACACTACATGCCTGTTGAAGGTTTGTTGACTTTGATCTACGTGTCTGAACAGGTTGGGCGTTACTGCTGCCTGCACTTAAATTGCTGATGCAGGCAGAACCAACCTGCCAAACCATCGTCTCTGGACCAGCCTTGAGCACATCATAAGAAGCTGAGTCATCCTCTAGCAACAGGGATGATATGACTATGAGAGGAACCTCCTTTCCTACAATGTCAGCACGTTTGCAACTATAAACATGTGGTAACCTATCCACAGCAGCCTCTGTGGTTTTAGAATTGCCATCGGAGATTTTTTTTTTATCTTCACTTTTTCTGGATCCCAATAAAAGACATTTATCAAAATCGGTGTTTGTTTCTGCAGAACTTATATCTTGCCTTTGAGTGATGCTCTGAGCTGTATCGGTTTCCAGTCTTTTCAAACTGTTGAAATGTACTGAACCATCAGCAATGATCTCATTGGTGAGCTCTACAGCTGTCTCCTTACATTCTTGCTGCTTTTCTTCCACCTTTGCTATAAATTCACTTAAGCTTTCTGAAAATGGCAAGTCATCCCATGACACAGTATTGTCACAATCCAGACTCTTTTCTAATAGTTTGCTGCAAGATTTAATAGCAGTCTGAAATGCATTACTGTCTCTACCATCAGACAAATAGTCCCCAGACATATCCGAACGTCTTTGGGTATTAGTGAAGCTTGCATTGAAACTGTCCTGTAACTTATCAAAGCCAACATTGTAAATCTGGTTTGCACGTTCTTCATCAGAAAATCTTTGTACTTCTAAATTAAGGGAGTGACTTCTCATTACATCTGTTGTGGAGACACTGACACAATTATTTTGAGGGGGAGAAATAAAAGCCGACAAACAATGTTTATCACACTCAGAAGTCTGCGCTACTTCCACTGTATTCTCAGCAGACATGCTGTTCCTCTTTGCACTACAGATAATTTCTGCTGCTGAAAAATCTTCAACTCTAATGCAATCAACAGAGGAGGAAGTAAGTGCAAAAGGCTGCTGCCAGTAACCTGAAAACTGGCCATCGCTACATGACTGAGTGTAGAACTGACTGTTACTAGAGCTCGAGTTTGTCGAGCTGCTGATCTCAACACTAGGCTGGTTACCAGTACTTGAAGGAGTATCAGATAGCTGTGAGCTGGGGAGCAAATCTTTGAGATTAGACGACTGCAGGAGCTTCTTGTAATAACTAATCACTGTACATCCAAAGACTGCAGTGTTTGGAACTGCAATTTGATGGGCTATGAACTGTTTTTTGTATTTAAACTTGCAGGTTGTAGTTTGTAAGAGGCTTTGAGAAAACGATACCAATCCAACATGAGATTTAGATGCCTGTAAGTAACAAAACGTTTTTTTGAAAAATGGTGCACATCATATTACAAGTTTAAAATGTGCTTAAATAAACATGTAGTCTAAAAATATAAAGCAAATACACAAATGATCTGTCAAGGGAAATAATACGATAACAAAAACAAGTCAGACTAAGCAATAGGTTTAAGATAATGTAACACCTGAATCTGAATCCTGGGATTAAGCTAGTCATGTGAAAAGAAAATGTAAAGTTTGAACAGTCCTAAAAATAGCACCAAGTGTCAGACAATTTTACATTTCTTGGGCCAAGTGCAACCTTCGCTAATCTATTTATTATCTCTGTATAGCTGAAATGTGCATTTTTGTATGCACTTTGCAACAGAGTAAATGATCAGATAATAAAAAGGAAGATATTATATAATTGTGTTCTTTTCATAAACCAAAAATAAATATTGAAAATAAATATTACAAAAAAATCAAACTGCTTGATGTATGAAAAGGCAGACAGCGATTACCTTCACACCAAAAATAAAGCTTCTCCCAACAAAGCAATCTTCCACGGCCTGAACCAAAAGGCTTTGAATCCTTGATCTCTCTAACTCTTGTAATTCCTTCTTTAGGTCTTCAGAGTAACTATAGAATTGAAAAACAATAAATCATACATGGCGATTTCTAAATATGAATGCAATTTCAATCAACATTATAAATGTCAAAACAATGTGAGGCAGCAACAAACAGGATGCTGGGCTATATTGCCAAATCATTTCAGAACAAATCCCCAGAATTCAAGGTGAACATGAACCTAGTCAGGCTGCATCTGAAGTACTACTGACAGTTCTGGTCACCGTAATATAATGAAGCAGTGCTGAAAAGAGCAATGATGGCCCACTCGGTGTTAGAGGAAAAAGCTATAAGTAATGCTTAGACAAGTTAAGGATCTTCAGTTGTGAAAAGAGAAATTTGAAAGTAATAAATAACTAGAATGGGTTACCAAGAAAGGTAGTTGAGATCAGATCCCTGGACTTATTTAGGAAAAACATCTTGATGCTGTAATACGATTACGTGGGGTGGGGATGTTCTGGACCGACAGGATCACATGGGCTGAAGGGCCTTCTTCAACCCAATTTTTCTGGTGATCTCTCTTGTTATAATGGTCATTAAAATTCACAGGTGAGAAAATCACTGCAAGATATCCACCGATTTTAATAATTTACATTGTTTTCTTTTCTGAACAAATACCGATGACATTTTACACTGTTGATGTGCCATGATATCGGCACTTAAATATTAACAATTGAGATGTAGTCACAAGTCTGTTAGAAAACAATAAAGTTTATACTGAGAAATAAGACCAGTGCAATATTCTTAAGTATTTTGGAATATAACAACAGTATTATGTTGGAAGTATTTGTCTTTTCTCTTTTAACGGCAGCAACAAATTCCTTTCATGTGACCTAGTTCTCAACAGCCTAGTTTGGATTATAGGATTAATGGGATGTGCTAAATCTCTCTGTTTTTTTAGATTATCCACATGGTGCACACTACTCATTTGATGTAGAACAACAAGACCAGTTAGTCAAAAGAGCTATAACTGACATACCCACAACCCCAATGCCCTTAGCACAAACATCTAAATAGTCTAAATTATTTTAAAAAAGTGGTCATAATGTTTTCTAACCACCAGAGGTCGGTGTAATATACAATGGTTACAAGATATCATCAACACTAAATAATGGAAGAGAATTACTGCAACAGAATTGCGAATGCTGTGTGTCAGTTACTAATCATTATACTGGTTTGTGTGGCAATTAGATTTTACCTTGATTATCTAGCAAAAGGTGATGTTACAGTATCAATGCATTTACTGATGGTCCGATTGATTAACTGCAGGACTTATATTGAAAATAATGCACCCACCTCTGCCATTCCAGTCTAAACCATGGATAATATAATTAAGACTTTACAACAACATCTTGCAGTTCTATAGTGGCCTTCACATAAGGCTATCTTGACGTCTTTACAAAGATGGGATCTGATGCCAAGCATGGAAGAGGGGGAGGGGGAAAGTCACTATAGGCACAATTGAAGAGGTATGTTTTGAGGTGGGACAGAGAGCTGTGCGAGACAGGAAGGGTATAAAATCTAAAGCTCAGCTACTATTATTAATGCAGAAATTATACCACTCACTGAGGAGCTCATTGGTCCTGAATATTACTAAATTAGTTTTGCTATAATTTTAGGGGGTATACCACTCACTTAGAGAGGGCAAGGGTCTGCTGGAGCAGCATCCGATATTTTCAACATTGCGTTGCACTTTCATTAAAGCGACTAAAGGAATACTTCAGAATGAGGCCCTACAATGTCTCTGTTCCGAGTATTTGTCCACAAAACACGAGGTGTTTTACAATATACCCTGTAAGGCACTTTGGAACATCTTCCTGATGTGAAAGGAGCTATACTAAATGTAAGAATTACTATTATTCTCTGTAATATAATAACAAATTTGAATGGGAAATCAGGTTCAAATGTTTTCTCTCTTTAAAGAACTACTCCCCATTTAGCTGACTGCCTTCAGGATTAAATCTTCTGGTGTTTCTGAGGGTGGAAATTACAGAAATGTACTATTTCATTTGCTTGGCCTAGAACATGGATAAAGGGATATTATTTGCAGCCAGATACATGAGAAAATTATCATTACATGAAGTATGCCTTTAATTCTTGCATTTTTAATTCAGATTTCTTTTACCTCTGCAGAGATTCTGCTGCTGTACCAAAGTAAGGATCAAGGCAGCTCCCAAAGACGGTAATATCAAACAGGTCACTTTTCTCTGTGACTTTTAAGGAAAGTCTGTACTGATAATTAACATTCTGTACTTCAGATTTACAGCCACATTTTGGGCATTGTGCTCTACAGGGGGAAAAAAAACAAAAGGTAAATTTTGCTTAAATATCACTATAGCCAATCACCACAAGACATATACAATCACCAGGACAAAAAGTACAATACAAATATACATTTATATAAAGCTTTTCAATGTTGGGAGGACATCCCAAAGCACTTACAGTACTGACTAGGCACCCAAGCTGTTGGTGGAAGCCATGGGTAATGGAAAGGGGAAAGGTAACTGAATGATTGTCAAAGCAGTAGCCTTGACACTGATACAGTTTAGAATCCTAAATGTTAATGATCCCTCATTAATACAGATACCAATACTCAGGTCTAATGTAAAAATAAGGCATGTGGAATAGATGGAAAGGCAATAAAGTAGATAGAGGAATATATAAAGGAAAAATGGCAGAGTGGGAATTAAGGGATGCTTTTGCTCGTGACAGAGAGAAGTTAGTGGTATGCCTCAGTGATCTATATTACTAATAATAATCTTTAATCTGGTATAGCGCCTTTCAAGTCAGGAAGATGTCCCTGGGATATACTATACAGTGCAATGACTGTGTTTTGTGGAGATTTGTGGTAAAACTTGTTATCCTTTCAAATCCCTTCATGCTCTCACACCTCCGTTCTGTTCCGACATTGCTCACCACCCCCACTCCAACACCCAGGGATGCTCTTTCCCCCGTGGCTTGCAGGAGTATTGACAGGAGCCAGTGCTCAGTTGGTTTTCTGTATGACTCTTGTAAATAATGCACAGCAAGTATGAAACAGAATGTGTGGGTATGGAGGGAAAGTGAAAGTGCATATAAAATCTCAGGCTAGGGAAAAAAGACAAAGGCAAATATTTATTTAAAAATCTGGAAATCACATGTTCTGCAATCTTAGTTTTATCTCGGAGCATTTTGTCACCTTAACATTCTTACCTTCTGTTGTTCAAAATTAACCTGGAGCTGCAAGTCTCACAAGCTGGATACAGAAAACAAGTGTCATGAAGATATACTATTGAAGCAACAACAAGGGTCCTCTTGCCATTCATTTGTTCCCTAGGTACAGGAATGAAACACAAGAAAATCATCAAATATATAAAATGCTTTCACTGTATTTGCATTTGAATGGAACAGAATATTATGATCGTATCTAACAAAATAATGTGAGTTTGATTGGCTGATTCTTATGGCTTTACTGTTCCTCTGAAGATTGTACATGAATTTTTTAAAAAATCCTCGCATTTCAAATTGGAAGGACATTTCAAAATGCTTCACAGAATTCATGGTAAACCATAGTGACTATATATTTTGTAGATAGAAGCGGCAGCTAATTTGTGCACAGCAATGTTTCACAAACCACAGCACATGGAAGTGAATTGCCAGTTTTATTTGAAGGATTGTTGTCCAGGGAACTGTGGGAAACTCCCTTCTCTTTTATAGTGCCAATGGATCTTTAATTTCCACGCAAACAGTAGCTATCCCTCTGACATCTTGTGCTAATTAATGTATTTACACACAATATTCTTATTTGACTGTTCCTTCAGTCATCCTCCCACTTCCACCCCCTTGCCCTCCACCCCTTTGGATTCAGCCCTCAGCTCGGGGGCAAACCCTTGACTGTCCAGTGCCTTGGGACATCCTCCCAACCCTATTTCAATGCAATTTGTTGTTGTTGTTATTTGGTCAGTGTGTTTATTTACTATTAGTTTAACAGTTACAGACTGTGATAAACTTACTGTTCGTTTGATGTTATAGACTGTGATATATCAAATATAATGGACATTTACAGAACGTGATAAACAGTATTTCCTGTTAGTTTGACAGTTACAGACTGATATATTTGCTGTTAGTTTGACAGTTACAGACTGTGATATATTTGCTGTTAGTTTGACAGTTACAGTCTGTGATATATTTGCTGTTAGTTTGACAGTTACAGACTGTGATATATTTGCTGTTAGTTTGACAGTTACAGTCTGTGATATATTTGCTGTTAGTTTGACAGTTACAGACTGTGATATATTTGCTGTTAGTTTGACAGTTACAGACTGGGATATATTTGCTGTTAGTTTGACAGTTACAGACTGATATATTTGCTGTTAGTTTGACAGTTACAAACTGATATATTTGCTGTTAGTTTGACAGTTACAGACTGTGATATATTTGCTGTTAGTTTGACAGTTACAGACTGTGATATATTTGCTGTTAGTTTGACAGTTACAGACTGGATATATTTGCTGTTAGTTTGACAGTTACAGTATATATTTGCTGTTAGTTTGACAGTTACAGACTGATATATTTGCTGTTAGTTTGACAGTTACAGACTGATATATTTGCTGTTAGTTTGACAGTTACAGACTGATATATTTGCTGTTAGTTTGACAGTTACAGACTGGGATATATTCGCTGTTATTCTGATTGTTGGAGACAGTGATATATTGACTGATGTCCTACAGTTAGTGACGGGGCTGTTAGTTTGATTGATTGACGGGTTGTGATATTCACTGTCTGCTCCGCCGGTGCAGCTGATGGTACCGGAAGTGTCTCTGGTGAGCAGCAGCGCCTGGTCCGCCCTCCCGCTCGCGCCACGATCAACGTTCCGCGTCTTTCAGTTCCGGGACTGGTAATGACACTGAATCTCACTCCTTATTTGTGGGGAACAGTATTCCCATTAGCAGCAAACTTCCTTCTTCAAAGAATAACGGGGGTCCTTTCTTGGACTTGTCAAGGTCTGACACTGAACGAGCTCTGTGTATACATAGATTTGTGCTTGTTTTAGGGGAATATACCCTCAGGAAAGGTCCTGACTGCAGCGATTGATGTTGAGTTAACCAATGTCCTCGCTGCCATGTTCATGATCACTTGGGCAAAGTACTGGAGGGAAACATACGCCAAACATACACAAAAGTCAGTAGCTTCTGGAGGGAGCCCACCTCCTCACCAATTTTGTTTTATATGTAGCCCAAGCCACATATACCCCTCACTGCGTTTTAAGGTAGTTGACTATGTTTAAATGAATTTGCCGATGCACACTTTTAAAAAGTGCTGGAAAGGCTTAAGAGAGAAGTCTCGGTATTTGTGAGATTGACCGCCGGCCGCTTCTCAGTGATTTAACAACAAAAACTTGCATTTTGATAGCAACCATCACATAGAAATAATGTCTCTTGAGCTCTGTACAGTGCCGGAGACTCATCCTGAGCAGGCGAGAGGGAAAGACAAAGCACAAACATAATAATCCTTGCAGTTTGATATCGCAGCTAAGCGCGTCTTTGAGACATCTCAAAGCGCTTCACAAAATATACTGTAAGCCAACTTGACTGTATGTTTTGTGGGTGAGACTGTATATGTTTTAAGGTGGGGGGGGGAGGGGGGCAACAACAGCAACTTGCATTTATATAACACCCCTTACGCAGGGTAGCGTCCCAGAGCGCTTGAAGAAAGTGGGGTTGAGGAAGGGAGATACAAAGGTTAGAGGAAGGTCTGTAGAGTGGGGGGCGTGGGGGGGGGGGGGGCAGGAGGAAGACAACCCCAAGTTAGCAAAATGGAGGGGGTGAGCAGAAGAGTGAGGTAGGAGGACATTGCAGAAATGGGGAGGTGCTCGTGCGGGGGGAGGGGAGGGGAGGGGGGAGGGGAGGGGAGGGGGTGCAGGTTTAAAGGTTAGGCTACTCACATCAAAGCATCACTAACATCTGACCATTTTCTGAAGTCCCTACTCTGCCTTTCCTGCTCTCTCCTCCTCTTCCTCTCAATCCCTGCGCTTCCTCTCGACTCTTAACTCTCTGCTTTCCCGGACTCTCCCCCTCTCAGTCTCAGACTGTGTGTGTGTAACAGTCTCCTCCTCCTCCTCCTCCCGCTCTGTCCCCCTCTCAGTCTCAGACTGTGTGTGTGTGTGTGTGTGTGTGTCTCAGGCCCGGGATGATGGCGGCCGCTGTCAGGCCACACATGGCTGCTGTGTGTGTTGTGCTGATGGCCGCGGCGCTGAGCGAGGTGTCGGGGAGGCCGAGGCCCGGAGGCTGGACCCGGACTCCTCATTACCGTCTCTTCATCAAAAAGATCCCCAAAGAGAGCGGCTTCCAGTTTAAAACCAAGTACTTCCAACAGAAGGTGAGGGTCCCTGGGGTGGGGGGGGGGGGGGGTGTCCCTGGGGTGGGGGGGGTGTCCCTGGGGTGGGGGGGGGGTGTCCCTGGGGTGGGGGGGGGTGTCCCTGGGGTGGGGGGGGGGTGTCCCTGGGGTGGGGGGGGTGTCCCTGGGGTGGGGGGGGTGTCCCTGGGGTGGGGGGGGGGGGGGGTGTCCCTGGGGTGGGGGGGGGGTCCCTGGGGTGGGGGGGGGGGTGTCCCTGGGGTGGGGGGGGGGTGTCCCTGGGGTGGGGGGGGGGGGTGTCCCTGGGGTGGGGGGGGGGGGTGTCCCTGGGGTGGGGGGTGGGGGGTGTCCCTGGGGTGGGGGGGGGTGTCCCTGGGGTGGGGGGGGTGTCCCTGGGGTGGGGGGGGGGGGTCCCTGGGGTGGGGGGGGGGGGGTGTCCCTGGGGTGGGGGGGGGGGGGGTGTCCCTGGGGTGGGGGGGGGGGGTGTCCCTGGGGTGGGGGGGGTGTCCCTGGGGTGGGGGGGGGGTGTCCCTGGGGTGGGGGGGGGGTGTCCCTGGGGTGGGGGGGGGGGTGTCCCTGGGGTGGGGGGGGGGGTGTCCCTGGGGTGGGGGGGGTGTCCCTGGGGTGGGGGGGGGTGTCCCTGGGGTGGGGTGGTCCCTGGGGTGGGGGGGGGGGGTTCCCTGGGGTGGTGGGGGAGGAGTGAGAGGGTCCCCGGGTTGAGGAAATAGGGGCGAGAGAGGCCCGGAGTGGTGGTGGGAGGGGGAGAGGGTCTCCAGGGTGTGGGGGGAGAGAGGAAAGAGGTCTGAGGTTAGGAAAGGGGGTGCGAGGGTCCTGGGGTGTGTTAGGGGGGAGTTTTTTTTAGGGTGTGAGGGTCCCTGGGGTGCGAGGGTCCACAGGGTGGGGGGTGATGAGGGTGTGACGGTCACTATGTGTGGGGTGGGGGGAAGCTAGAGTGTGAGGGTCCCTGAGTTGAAGCAAGGGGGGGGGGGAGGTGAGGGTGTGAGGGTCCCTGGGGTGAAGCAAGGGGGGGGGGTGAGGGTGTGAGGGTCCCTGGGGTGTATGTTGTGGGGGGGGGGGTTATGATGCGAGGGTCCCTGGGGTGAGGAAAGGGCATGTGAGGGTTCCTGGGGGGTGATGGTAAGAAGGTGTCAGGGACCCTGGGATGGGGCAGTTGACGGGCCCCTATGTGTCAGTGTTTTGTTAAGTGTTAGCTGGCAGCCACAGGGTGGGTGTGGGGCTGGGTAAGTGGTGACCGGTGCCCGGGGTCCGTCCTGGGCTGATATTTGGAGCTGCGGCCCTGAGCCTGGCTCCATTGGGTGGGGGGGTGGGGGAAAGTTTGCAGCAGTTGCTCACTCAACAGAACTCTTGTCAAGGTTCCTCTTTTCTACATTAAATATTTCTATTCAAAACAAATTCCAGTATAAGCGTGAATTAGTTTTAGCACTGAACTAGCTGTAACTGCTTAGAAAGCCTATGTCACCCAGACCGAGCCATTCTTTGAAATTTTAGCCTTTTCCCCCCCAAATAAACATCCTTCTGTTTCCCACATTATATTAATGGTTGGCAGATCACATGTTTGTCATGAGACAACAAGGGAACCTGAAACAGCAATTTGTAGATGACTTTTTCTTCCTCTTTACATGTCCCTCTGGGCCCTGATCTCTTCAGCATTATTGTGAGCTCAGTACAGAGCGGGATCAAATCTGTATCTTTGTATTGTGCATCATTGTGCATTGATGTCTTAAAGTCTTATCCCCCTCATTACTGAACATAAGTAGGTTTATTAATGCAGCTTAGTTGTAGAGCAGCGTTGTGAATGCCACATAGTGGCAGGATATAGGTTGAATGCTGTGGATTTTCTCCACATAAATTAAGCCAGATCCACGCACTCAGGTATAGGAATTCCATCTGAATTTCATTTTCCCTCTAATTTAGATTGAGGATTGAGGATAATCCCAGCTGAGATCAGCTGTTTCCCTCTAGATCAGAATTCTAACCTGCATTTTTTCTGGTATCTATTGGTTTATTCACAAGGTCATAAAATGGAGTTGGATGAAGAAGTCCCTTCAGACCATTTGATCTCATCCCTCCAAATACACACCCTACGATCCTCTATTATGGCACCAAGTGTTTTTTTCAAAAAAAATATTCCATGGTACTGATCTCAACCACCTTTTCTGGTAACCTATTCCAGTTGTTAATTATCCTCAGGGTAAAGAAATATTTCCTGGTGTCTGTCCTGAATTTGCTCTTTCCAATACTAAACGTATGCCCTCTTTGTTTTTCTGTCTCAACGCATCCAGAAATATTGTTCTCAAAATACTTTCTCAGTCCCATTTTGAATCGTATATACCTCTATAAGGTCCCCTCTGAGATGCCTCTTTTCAAGACTGAAGACTAAATTCTTACTGCTGAGATACAGTTAGCCATCTCATCTAACTAAAGTTTGTTACTAGAATTTTACTTCTTTGTAAATTCATTGTGAAAAAAATATTTTTCTCAGGTTGATCATTTTGGATTTTCTGAGGTTTCCACATTCAAGCAAAGATACTTGATAGCTGACCAAGACTGGGATCGTAATGGAGGCCCAATTCTGTTCTATACAGGAAATGAGGGAGACATCGTATGGTTCTGTAACAATACGGTAATTGTTTCAAACAATTGTTTGATTTACACAATAAAAATGGAGTTACAAGTGAGTGAGCATGTCAAATAAAAATGGTGTTCATTTTTAAAATCTTTCAAATCAAAGTTAACTATAGTGATTTTGTACATTATTTGCTGTTTTGCTATTTTACAGTAGGTTTGAGCACTATTATTTAACCTAGAGCTATTTTTCTGTGTGGTTTTTCATATAATTTTTTTATAATATCATTTATAATTCTTTGCAATTTTGCTACTTTTTTATGGATCATTGGTTGTTAATTACTTGAATACATTTCTGTTCAGGAAAGTTTGTTCCCACTTCCAAAATATTTTAAGATTAGATGCATATTTACAAAATATTGTGAAATGTTGTGAAAGTTGCTATTTTACTGTCAAGCTGTTCACAAATCTCTCTTAAAAATGCTTCATGTTTATGCAGTGAATGTTTAACCTTGTTTAGTAGAATGCTGAACATTTAGCCCCTGAGGCTGATTTTAGCTGGAAATTTGCAAGCCATGCACATTTGCATGCAGAGATAGTTTTAGGATTATAACAGTCTTTACATTTTTAAGGTATGTGAATATTGGGAGGATATGCTTCCTGTCATTAATTACTGAACCTCTTGATTTCACTCTGGTTTTCTTTCCTTCAATTGTTTCTTTCAATTTCCTTTTGTGGTCTTGCTTCCTTTATCTTCCTCAATTGAATTTTTGATTTCCCTTGCTGCATTAGTCATTTGTATTTGTTTTTTTCCCTTTCACTGTCTTCATTCTTATTTTCCCCGTTATTTTCCCAATCCTTTCTTTACCTATTTGCCAGGGATGAGAGAGAGGGGGTTTGTAACATTGGTGGAAAATGAGGAGCATGCAGCTGTTTTTTGAAGGATGAGCAACAAAAAGATAGGGGAGGGGTTTGAAATTGATAAAGGGAGGAAAAACTTCCCCAGTAAGAGTGTCAAATCTAGTCAAAGGAATTGTAATAGTATGATAGGCACACGCTGTGGTATTTATTAATTTCTGTATAATAGTAAGATATCACAGTTGCTTCTGAAAACTGATTGGGAAAACGCATAGGGAAATTCTATAACCAATCTTGCAAAGTAACTTTCAAAATTAGGTAACATTTCTTTAAAGACACATAAACTGGACTATCTGGGTAATTTTTACAACTGGATAGGGAACGTTGCCTGACTAAGTTTATTAAATGACCAGTGATTGCAGGCCATTATTTTCACCATCCTCCCAAATATGGGTGACTGTGATTCTTATCAAAATAGAAGCTAAATTCCATTCAAAAATATATAAGAACTCTAATCTTGTGAGTTTTTTTGGCTTCTTAAAAAGAAAGTTAGAATCTTATTAGTTCCTTTGTATATTTTATTTTTTTAAATTTACTTTTAAAGGTACTGTACCTACATGCCACCAAGATAAACTTACTAAGTTTTATTTACAGGGTTTTATGTGGGATATATCCAAGGAGATGAAAGCCATGTTGGTGTTTGCTGAACATAGATACTACGGGAAGTCTATGCCTTTTGGACAGAAGGCCTTCAGTGTAAGTGGCAAAACGTATTTCACAAATTCATTTATTTTACAGAATTTGTCTCTTAGTAAAATGCTGTTGTGCTACTCTGGTTCCACTATAAATGGAACCGGAGAAAATACAAGTAATTGCCTTCTTTGCTTTCTTTAATATCTTTTCTCTTGACTTTATGAATCCCAATATTGATCAGTATTATCAGTATTATTATATATTATCAGTATAATCCCAATATTATATTATATTAAAATCCCAATATTGATCAGTATTATCAGTATTATCTTCATTGTTAATTTTATACTTAGCAATGGTACAACTGCACCAATCTTAATAATAAGAATATAGTGCCTTATCACGTATTCAAGACGTCTCAAAGCGCTTTACTTTATTGATCTGCTATTTATCGAACAGTGTTTTTCCAAAAGTTAACCTCTCCTTTCCACCACCAGTACCACAGCTAGATCCACATATTTATTTAAATTTAAATAAATTAATAAATATTAAATAAATATTCATTTGTTTGTTTATTTATTTTGAAAGCTTTCCCTGTGACTGACTAAAAAAATCTCAACAACATTAAATGGGGAAGGGAGCAAGGAGATGGGATGAAAAATACAAATTATGATTTGTATCGCATCAAGGGATTTTCTGGTCTTGGAGATGGCCCAGTTGATATGATTGTCAACATAGTTGTGGAGAACACCCCCTGACTCTGTTCAAATAGTTTTTCCGAAAGTTAGTCACTTCAGCTATTGAGCCAACTGGTGGTGCATTTCAACCTGATGCTGCACTTATCCTGTGCTGGTTTGGTAACTCAATGCTAGGATCTGTGTGGTGGCAGGAGCAAAGTCATCTATATATAATTTGCTCAATGGCTTTTGAGCAAAAGTATTTGAACAAAGTTGGAGAGGGGAGAGCTGTTCTTTCCTGAGTTATTTTCTGAAACTTCTCCAGGGACATAATGTCCACAATGTTATCAAACAGCATGTTTCAAGCTAAAAAGGGCGAGATTGCAAAGTCTGTTGGAATTGATGATCTAGTGTTTGAAATGTGATTTGCATGGAAGGCCACAGGGGTGTATGATTTTAAGCATAGCTCTAGGATATAGTGACTGATGAAGGGTTAAAGGGGATTTCAATACAGATTATTTTGAAGAATTCAAGTCCAAAATTAGCCAAAAGAAGAAACTGCAAGTAACTGATGGTATATTTATAGAGACAAACCTTGGCCAATAATTCAATTTATTGACACCATAGGATTTCTCAATCATTGGGTCAAAGAAATCAACTGGAAAAGATGGATGGAAACCATGGCAATTTGGAAGCATGTGGAAGCAGGCAAACTCATTGCCAAGTTCCCACAACCACAAAAACATTTCCTCATTGCTTCTCTGCTTTTGCTCCCATGGTAGTAACTTTAAAATAACACTGAAGTGAATGAGAGACAAAATAGTTGAAGGTGGGTGGGGGTAACGGGGGAAGAGAGGAGGGGAGGAGAAGGAATTTGTGCCGATACAAAGTTACGGAGTATGAGTTTTTCTTATTTTAGTTTTGATTTGAAACTTTGAATTGAAGAAGTAAAATGGCAGTTTTTAGATGGGATGAGCAATGTTGTTTAGAAATGGTTAAGATATGGGCAACCACGTGTCTCTTTGAGTAGGTGGCAAACACTAAACCTCTGTTACAGTTGGGGGCCTCCATATGTACCAGGTTCACAAACAACAACTTAAATTTCAAGTGGGGTGGCTGGGGGGAATTGACTGACGAAAACTTGCAAAATATACAACCTGATGGAAATGGAAAGTGACGTCTGTGACTTATTATTTTCTTTTCTTCCCAAATGTGATCAGTATGACAAATGCTTCTTCTCATGCCCTGCATTGTAAATGGTTGACATTTTAAGGTAATAAAGTACTTGATTACTTGCTGCCTCAAAGAAAGAGCCTGTGGTTGAAAGCCACATTCAGAGAATTACAGTAAAACCAGTTCAGTGGAAACTGTCCAATAGATTCCAACAAGCAAAATGGATGTGATATAGTGTTGCAGTCATTAAACTGTTAGAAGTAGCATTTAACCCCCTTCATTGCTGGTCCCCATGATATTTTGAGTTGGTCGCAAACTTGGGAATACCTCAGCTGGTTTCATTATTTTAAACAAGGTATGAGGATTTTTAAATGTTGACCTTTATAAAATATTAGAGGTGCAAACAATGTTCTAATGCAAGGATTATTTATTCCATTTATTACTGTCCTGCTTACGCCACTATTATGCTGGATTTATACCACCCCTTTGGTTTGACACTGTTCAATGCTAAAAGCATCACACAAAGGAACAGTATAGAAACAGTGGTCCCACACTGATATTCCTGTGCTGCTGATCCCACATTGTGTACAGTGAGTACGCACATGCACTACTCTCTTATCTGTACTCCCACAACACCATGTTGGCTTTGTCTTGGTGTACTTTTAAGTGAAAGTTTAGTTTTGTTCTGACAAAAGCAGTTAATGGTGTAAGATGCCATTTGAATGGACAGCAAGAGTGAGATTCTGGTGATGGGATCTTCCTATCTTCTGAATGTTTCTTTCTTCAACTGGACTCACTTCTCATTCTAGAAATGTAATAGGCACCAAGTGAAAATAAATTAATGTCTAATTACTGACTCAGAGGGTGAGGAGATTTCAGTTATAAAAAGTTGTTTGACTCCTGTGGAAACAGTAGAGATGAAGCAGCAGAGATTTGCTTCAATATTTGTGACAATAATACGGTTTGTAGACCTTGGAACCACTTAACCTTACAGCAAGTTCAGAAAATTTGGTTATTTGACCGGATAACTGATTCCATATCAAACCAAAGCTAATCTCTTTCAATCTCGTAATCCAGCTGTTGTTCAACAGAAATTGCTAACACAATAGAATAAGATTTTTTTATTGTGAATGTTTATCCTCTTCTGAAGGTTTTTGTTCTTCATCTTCTGCTTTGTAGGTTCTTCAGAGTACCATGTCTCTGATGGGTACCCTGCTCCCTTGCCACCTCTGGTGGTGTTTTTAACCTGGACCAGTTTTAGTGGATCTCTTTATATTTTTCCATTTCCCCCTCTTGTTTCCACCCAAAAAGAAGCTCTTCTGACAAAATTGTTTGTGGGACACCTCTGTGCGCAATTGGCTACTGGGTTTCGCCCACAAATATATTGTCAATTCACTTTGCAGTATATTCTGTGAAGTACTTTGAGACATCTCAAAGATGTGATAAGACGCTATATCGAATGCATGGATTTTTATTATTATGAATGCAAGGATTATTATTATGGTTCTGATTTGAAGCTTCAATAGGGAAATCAAAAAGAATGTGATGTAAAACAGAAAAGTAGTTCATCAAGGAAGCATTTCCAAAAGGTTGCAGAACAGAATTTCCATTCACTGGATTACAAGAGTTTATGGCCTATATTCTGCTACCACTTAGCTGATCTAATTATAAAATAACCGGTGCTGAGCTTCACCATGTACTTCTCTCCTAAAACTTGGTTCAACTTTAATTGTGCTTCGTGGAGTGACATCTTTTCTCTTTTAGGGGTAGGGTTCAGGATAAATTAATGTGCATATCTATTTTTAACTTAATGTATGAAATGATATTTCAAATATAGTTTGTAAGTTGTTGCATTTCTTGATTTCTTCAGTATTCATTGATCATCTTATTATAAAGAACTGTAGATATCTCAAGTTAAATTTTCTGAATTGTTATTAATTTACAAAAAATAACTTGGCAATGGGTTTTAGTAAATTGTTACTGTAGTAAATTGTTAGTAAAGTTGAAAATTTTCTTTTTTTAGGATCCCAAATATTTGGACTACCTAACATCAGAGCAGGCTTTGGCTGATTTTGCAGTGCTTATTAGAAATCTGAAGCGGACTATCCCAGGAGCTCAGAATAGTCCAGTAATTGCTATGGGAGGCTCCTATGGGGGAATGCTGGCAGCTTGGCTGAGGATGAAATATCCACATGTAGTAATAGGGTGAGTTCCAGTTGTGTGGACAAGGAGATCCTTACATCTCCTTCATGAAATCTTTTGTGTCTTGTGATTGTCAGACATCATTCTTCAACATGAGTCAAAGCTAATGGAACTGGAAGCTGCATAAGGCAATTGAGTTTTTAAAGTGTGAATTCTTCTTCTGTATTGTACCCAGTTGAGCTACAAACCTATTGGGATTCAAGTTTTTTTTTATTTTTTAGGTTAATAACCTGCAGTATGTAAATAAATATCTTAACTGCCAATAAATATCTTAACTTCTTAACGGTATACTTAATAAACTCTCTTTGAATACCATATTGAATATCTTCTAAACATTCGGGACTAAAACACAGCAATTTCTAATGAGATTCTTAATAAGGACTCAGTCATAAACAGGATTCCAGTAATTGAAAGTACATCATACCAACCTATGGGGAGTACTCTTTCAGAAGGAGAGATGGAGCTCACATAGGCTGACATGATTAATCCGGGATACCAGATGGAGACTCAATTTGTGATTTGAAATTGTTACATTTTATTTTATTTATGGTATTTAGGATCTATAAAATCCCAACCTGTGATATAATCCTGGTACACTGCACTGCAATAGTTGCTTTCACCTTGCATGCTGTGGCCGGTTGACTTGAGCCTGTGTAAAGCAGGATTCGACATCGGTGACAACCTAATAACCCGGAGTTTGGCCATTTCAGAGCAAAAGTTGGTTGACATGTGGGAAGAGAGACCAGCTGCATGTACAGTAAATGGGGCCCATGGCCCAACCATGTTATAACAACTTACATTTGGATTTGTCCTGTAAAGAAGTGTGTTATAATGGAGCTGGACTACATTAAGGACTCCTGTTAGAAATGGCTAATCCCAAGATCATATTAAAGAATGAGAATTGGGTGTGCTAATTAATCAGATAATGAAAATGTCATCACAGCATTTGGTGCCTTTTTAAGGCAAATAATGAATTGTAATGAGAATTGGTCCTTTGGATGAGACGTTAACCAAGATCCTGTATGTCTGTTCAAGTGAACGTTAAAGATCCCATGACAAAATTCAAAACGAAAATGGAGTTTCTCCTGGTGTCTTGGCCAACAATCCGCAGATAACATTTGTCAGTTCACGTCCTAGCTGTACCTGAGACCTTCCTGTGCACAGAATGGTTGCTGCATTTCCCCCACAAATGCACAGTCATTCCACTTCACAGTATAATCAAGCATAAATAATAACAATAACCCTTGCATTTGATGTAATGGCTTTCACATCAAGAGGACGTCTCAAAGCGCTTCACAGGTAAAGTATAGTGACTGTATTTTGTAGGAGAACATTTAACATGCTGTATCAATGCTGGGATTATTACAAGTAATGGGAAAAGAATAAATGGTGCTAATTAAATGGTGTGTATTGTTTGTCATAGGGCTATTGCTGCTTCAGCTCCAATATGGCAGTTTGAAAATATGTGCCCATGTGGAAGCTACAACACAATTGTCACCAAGGATTTTTTAAAAAGTGGAAAAGGCTGTGCTGAAAGCATCAGGAATTCATGGGGTGCTATTAATAAAGTGTCATCCACAGGTACTGAAATCTTTTCTAGGGTATAACCATTACAATTATTACTAATAATTAGTTAGAAGGTTAACTATAAGTCAGTATCTTAAAGGCGAAGGAAAATATTCCTTTTCTCCCCTTATTATGTGTGGTGTCTGATTTGAATGACTCTACTGCTCCTGATCTCTTTATTGTGAGTGAGAAGTTGTGTGCAGCATGGTTTTGCAGTGAATGGTCCAGAAGTGAAGACTGTGCCTTTGGTACTGTAATAACTCTGCAACTCATCTATTATTCGTGATTTATGACATTGATGTTTGAATATACTGACTGAGTAAATGCATGTTTACATGTGGAGTCTTCGAGCTTAGTGATTAGAGCACTCGCCTCGTAAGCAAGAGGACCTAGGTTCGATTCCCGGCAAGTTTCCCCTGAAACATGGGGCAAGTTTCCTTACTCCACACACATCTGTTTACTTAGCAGTAAATAGGAACCAGGTTGTTAGTCAATTGGCGGATCTCAAAGATATAAGGTGCTATATCAAAAACAAGGATTATTATTATTATAAAATAAACCCTAAATATATTTATTTCCTGACAGAGAATCTCATCTTCCTAATAACTTGCCAATTAAGATCCCAGTGCAGTTTAAGAGCTACATTAAACACTTAATATTTTCTGTGATTTGGCCTATTTTATTTACAAATACTATATGTGTGTGTATCAATAAATATATAATGTATCAGTAAATATATACACACAACAAAAAGAACTACAGATTCCTTCCAACACGAGGATGTTAAGACTTACACAATGAAACCTGTCAGAAGTACTTGTCTCAAACATATACATGGGAATGATGTCTTTTACGCATGCATACAAATGGGACTGATGTGTCTAAACTATTGTCTGGTTGCCCCAAAGAAAGCTTAAGGAGACCAGTTAAAGTTTCTGTTCTCTAGTATTGATATCACTCTTGAATTCAGTTTTCACGTTCTCATATGTGTGTTTTGTTTTTATTGCTATTTCTAGCTGAAGGCCTAAAGTTTCTTTCCAGTATTTTCCACCTCTGTTCGCCGCTACAAATGGACGATGTGGAATCATTCAAAGGTTGGCTCTCTGAGACTTGGGTTAATCTGGCTATGGTGGACTATCCCTATGCAGCCAGCTTTTTGGAGCCACTTCCAGCCTGGCCTATCAAGGTACATTTTCCTTTTTCGATTTCTGTGTTTTTTTAAAAAAAATGAAACCTGAGAATGTACGGGTGCTTAGCAGATGTATTGATCCTAAATGTTACCCCCTGTGGGTGAGATGTGCCTAATGTTCTTCTTGGCTCCACACTTCACAAACGTCCACTCGTTCAGTGACCTGCGTCCTGTTCTGCCAAGACAGCAGAACAAGAGAGTACAGGTTCAGGGTGGCAAAGGGCAATTTCAGGACAGACACCAGGAAGTATTTCTTTACCCAGAAGGTAATTAACAATTGGGTATACTAGGAAGGGTGATTATGGCTGCTGGGCATATTTTAAAAAGCAGCTTGTTGCACTATTGGTAGATGGTAGGGAGGATATTCTGGAAGGATGAGATAAAATGGGCAGAAGGTATGTTCAATTTGGTCACTCAATCTATGACTGTTTGTGGGACACTGCTGTGCACAATTGGCTGCCGCAAAATATAGTTAATTCACTTTACAGTATATTCTGTGAAGCGCTTTGAGACGTCTCGAAGACTTGATAAGGCCCTGTATCAAATGCAAGGATTATTAATATTATTCCATTCCACCATTGGAGACCAAGCACTGAGTCACATCCCTATCTTCTCGAGCTTTCTTCCCAAACCACTTTCTCTTGTTACCTCTCTCCCTGCTTTCAAAATGTTGAGCTGTGCTTTGTGTGCAGAATAGAGACTGCTTAAAATATTGTGGGTTGAAAACACAATTGATGGATATACCATAGTTGATGTACTAATTGGTAAAAAGAGGTAGAGAGGTTTAGAATCATAGAATTATCTTGTTTTGTCTTATGCTTGTTTTCCATTCCTGAAAACTTGTCTTGATTTGGCCCATACTAAATGATTGTCTCTTTAAATTGATTATTTTTCAGGTTGTTTGTACCCATCTCAAGGACCCATCATTATCAGAAGAGCTGCTGCTGAAAAAGCTGTTTGAGGCTGTGAGCGTGTACTATAACTACACAGGCAATATGAAGTGCCTGAATATATCCCAGACTGCGACCTCCAGTCTTGATGATCAAGCCTGGTATTACCAGGTAAGCTTCACTAAATAAAGTAGTGCTTTTGTATGATAATCATGTGTAACATGATAAATGGTGTTCTATTGTTAACTTGCATTTGTTAACTTGTTAACAAGGATTTTTTTTTCTGTTAGCAGAAAAATGAGATTGTGTCTATTCTTAGTTTCAGGTAGAAAAAGTACTAGTTGTGCTGGCTTAGTTTTTATTGAATGATCCCACTAAAGTAACATTTTTCTGTTCTCCAGACAATTAAAGAAGCTTGAGCTATCTGACAGGGTTAGAGTTGTGAGTGCTAGCAACTCGCAAAATTGTCAACTGATTCTGAACTATTATTGAGGTTTAATTCTCAATACAAAAATAGAGGAAGTTAAACTAAGTAAAGGAGTTGCTTGTGGATTTCAATGGACCCATTGTTTTCGATGAGTTCCAGCTAGATAATCCCTGGTTAAAGGAATATACACACTAGAAAAAACAATTTGGATCATATGGCCATTCTCAAAGCAAATTTTTTTTTAAAATTGTCCGCAGAAGAGTGGCATCAGAGTAGATTAGGCAGCTCATGTAAAACTGGCTGGACTGAATAGCCTGTGTCAATGATGTAACATTCCGTGATTCTACTCAATCTCTCGTACCTCTCAATCTGTGCTATTTGCCAAATAGCTATTTAATTTTGGACTTTGTGGATGCAATTGGCATCCACTATCTCCCTAGGTCATCTTTTACCACATATTCAGCACTTGCTGAGTAAAGTAATTCAATCCAAACTGTATGTGCACCTTTTCTCTTCTGAGCTTGAGGCTATAAAGTTTTGGGTAACTTTCTGTCTTCTTTCCCTCTCCTATGTTTTCTGTCAGTATGTGATATTGAGACAGGCCCAACATTCTCACTGTGGCACTTAATATTTAACTCTGAATGATTCTAGAGATTGTGAGCCTGGCAAAGGTGAATGTTTAATACATCATTCTTAGTAGAAATCAAATATCTATAAATATATTGTAACATATTTCAAATTCTAAGTTTCTCTCAAAGATGGACTTAGATACAAGCCAGTGTAGTTTTGAACACGTTTTACATCTACAGTGTATTCATGGATTACCGTGTGTGCGTGAAGCGACCTAACTTTATATCAGGTACAGGGATAAGAAAGCTGAAGAGAGTCTGACAGAAATGACTCATCTCAAAGCACACTGGACATCAACATGTTATTTCAACATGTTATTGGTACTCTTCTGATCATAAATCAAGAGTCATAACCTGGATTTGTAAATACTCAATAGGAAATGCGGCACACCAAATTATAGAACTCCTCTCTAACATCAGGAATCTTTTTTTTGGTCAGCCGGGTGTCTGACACATGCGGAGACCCATCACCATGCTTAAGAGTATCCAAGCCAAGCTGAGAATTCCATGCATCCCACCTGCACATGGAAATTCCAGAGATGGATTGTTGGAATGGAATTTGCAGTCTCTTCCTGGAGGGACGCATCATGTTTACCTAATTCAGGAAAGGTTGACAGGAGGCATGGCTTGGAGACCCAAAGCGTTGAAGTACTGCGGGAGTCTAACCAGCTAAAACCACATAGCTTGCCATCGATAGCACTGGGACCACCTTCCTCCACTTCCCCCACGTTGCCCGCCTCCAACCATACCTTACCCCAAATGCAGCCGAAACCCTCGTGCATGCATTTGTCGCTTCCCATTTGTCACCTCTCGCACTCCTCGCCAGCCTCCCCAGCTCCACTATTTCNAAAAATCCAGCTCATTCAGAACTCTGCCGCCCACATACTGACCTGGACCAAACTCCATACCCACATCTCACCAGTTCTGACCAGGCTCCACTGGCTCCCCATCACCGAATGGATCAACTTCAAGATCTTCACACTCGTCTTCAAATCCCTTCACTCTCTGGCATCTCCCTACCTCTCCGATCTCCTCACTCCCCAATCCACCACCCGGTGCCTCCACTCGACTGGCATCAGCCTCATGCTCGTCCCTTGGACCCTCCGCTCTATATTGGAGATCGTGCATTCAGCCACTATGCCCAAAAACTCTGGAACACTGTCCCTCAATCCCTCTGCCTTGCCCCCTCTCTCCACTTTTTCAATTCCCGCCTGAAAACGTTCCTTTTCGACCGTGCTTATGGTCACCCCCGCCCCCCCCCCCCCCCCCCGGCTCGGAGTAAGGCTCCTCCACTGTCAAGGACTCTGAAAGACGAACCCTATGTGGATGGCGCTATATAAGTGCAAGCTGTTGTATGTTTTGAATTATTAACATACCTGAATATTTGAACAGAGTTGTCCAAGGAAAAGATGGATTTCAGATTTAAGCTTTGTTTTATCTCCTCTCGTTATCAGTCCTGTACCGAAATGGTAATGCCCATATGCGCAGATGGTATCAATGACATGTTTGAACCGGCCAAGTGGGACTTCCCTGCCTTTTCTGAGGATTGTTACAAGACCTGGGGCATTCGACCTAGGCCAGATTGGATCGCAACAAACTACGGTGGAAAAAATATTAGTTCACACACCAACATTGTCTTCAGGTGAGTTTTCGCAAAGCAAATTGATTTTCAACCATTGTCGAAAAATGGGTTCAATTTAAACAGCAAAGTGCTCTGACGAGCAGACAGTAGTTATCACAATGATTAGATTTGAGTTTGAATAGTCTCATAGTTAAACAATTTCAGTGTTAAAGGATGCAAGGGAAATGTAGCGTGACTGGATCAGAGCTATTAAGCTTTCATTATCTGAACACCGTACATTTAATATAGTAGACTGTAGTCAAGGTTTGGGCTGCTTGCCTTACGCTAATGTTTGGAGTTGAAATCCTGATACTTCTGCTGGTATGATGATATAGTATTGATCTATTTATATTTCTTAAGGATGTTGGACGGAAGCTGGTATCCTCAGCATTCAGTATCCCTGAGTGAAAAATGGAGTCATTCGTTTCATAGCTGTTTGTGGGACATTGTTGTTGAAATTGTGCTGCCGTGTTTGCCTACAAATACACAGTCACTCTGTTTCACAGTAAATTCTGTGAAGCGCTTAGAGACATCTTTCTGACATGATAAGGCACTATACCGAATGCAAGCATTACTATTAATAATGATATTAAAATCCCTTTTAGATCTATCATTTTTTGATCAACTCGGTCTGACACATTCAGAACTCTATCGCCATGCTTAAGAGTATCGAAACCAGAGTTCCATGCAGCCCACCTATACATAAAAATTCCAGGGATGTTTATTGGAATGGGATGTGCAGTCTCTCCCTGGAGAGACACATCCTGCTTACCTAATCCCAGAAAGTAATAGGCACAGGTTGGCAAGAGCCAAGGCTTGGGGACTCCAAATTATGCGTTGGGGTTCTGCTGGAGTCCTACCAGCTAAAACCGCATAGCTTTCCATGCAGAGCACTGTGTGGCAAGCTTTCCCACTGATTACCTAGCTAGGACACCCCTATCCATCAAGGTTTTGGCTTGCAGGATTATCGAGAACTGGGTGAGAAGAGATAATATCTACCTCCAGTATCTTATATTTCACTACTTACCTAGCAGTAAGTAGGAACCCGATTGCTGGATTGCATTTCTGGGGTAATAATCCATTCCAAAAAAAGATTTTTTTTAAAAAAATTGGTCACTCAACCCACACCAACAGCTCGCATTTATATAGCACCCTTCACGTTGGGTTGTGTCAGACAGTATTACCCGAGGAGAAGTTTAGTCGTGTACTGTTTGCATGATGAGTTTCTGTTCTTAACTAAAGATGGTCTTGTGTGTTACAGCAATGGTGACCTGGATCCCTGGTCTGCAGGAGGTGTAAGGAAATCAATCTCTGACACCTTGGTTGCCATAACTATTACTGATGGGGCTCATCATTTAGATCTTCGCTCCAAAAATCCTAAAGATCCCCCTTCTGTCCAGAAGGCAAGAACTCAAGAAATTCAGTATATGAAAAAATGGATAGAAAAGACAAAGAAATGAACTGTTGCAAATACCATCTAAACAGTTACATACAATTCTGTCACTCTCCGATCTATAAATTTGAGCTGGATTTTGCTTTTCCTGTTTGATTTATTGCACATTTCTGCATATTCACTTTTTGATTTGGACTCATTTACAAGAGACGTCCTCATGTTACTCAAAAGAGAAATTTTACACTTTGTTAAAAAAAATTGTGTTTGATTTTGTCTTAATGTTAACCAAATCTTGTTGCTACGCTTGTGAATTTACCGACAAACTGCATTTTTGTTCCTCAAAGAAACTAACATGTTCACTAACACAAAGTTAATTCACGTGTGTCCTGTTATAGACTAATATTTGTATAGTTGTTCCTTATGGAACTTTCTAGAAATGCTTTGGTTTTAATTACAGCAGCATCAATACCTGAGTTTGGGTATCAACCAGAGCACGATTCAAAATAAGCTCAAATGCAGGTGGATATTTCCTTATACCATTTCTGAGTTAAAGTATATCAATAATGGTGGTTTGCTGGCCAACACCTCCATGGTTCATTGTTGCAAAGTGTGAAATATTCAATTCCTTTAATTCTTGTGATTGACTTTCACACATGCTAAATCTGAATTGACCTTAAATTGAAATTAAATGTGATATGAGCTCCGATATTCTAGAGTTCCTTTAACCGGACTTGTAACTGAAATTATATTTTGCCTTTTGTTAACGGCCTTACTGTTCCAATACACACAGAAATGGATGTTTACATTTTACAAAAATGTCTTCAAGATTGAATCTTAAAGGCTGAAAAGCCCTGCAATGCATATCATGATTTTTAAGAAAATAAATCATCTATGAAGCCAAACTTAACTGTATGTCATCTATTCCATTATAAATAGCATTTGTATTTTTATGCTGGCGCACCTTATGCCTCAAAAGGTTTCACAAGCAATTACTGTGAAGTGCAGTTATTATTATAATCAAATAAGGCAACCATTTGCACAGCAAGGCCCTATAAGTAGCCTTGAGGTGAATGACCAATTTAATTGAGTATAGAAGAAATTCCATTCCCCAGGAGAAACTCCATTCTCGTTTAAAAATAAAGTAAGGGGATTGTTAACGTCTACCTGAACAAGCAGACTGATGACTCATGCAAAAGATAGTACCTCTGACTGGAGTGTCACTAGATTTAAATATGTGACTTTTCCGATAATTTAAAAATGGTCTAAATCTTGTCATTCGCATGGAACAGAACTGGGAAACAGATGGCTGAAGATGCTTTAAACTTTTAATAGAATGTCTTGTGCACGAAGGCTGATCCTCACCACCAATCTCTAGATTACCTTGTAGAGTCATCTACTGATGCACCTGTAGACTTCACTGACAAAGTGATTTAAAAACAACATGAATTGCATTTATATAGCACTATTCACATTGGGAGGATGTTCCGAGGTGCTGAACAGTTGAGGGTTTGCACGCGAGATGGGGGTTGAATTTAGTGGGGGAATTAACTCAATCCTCAGGGGGATAGGGAGCCAGTGGACATGGGTGAGGATAGTCTGTTGGAGCCTATTGCTAGAGAGGATACAAGTCCAGAATGGTTTTGTAGCTTCTGGTTTAATAGGGTAATTTAGCCTGAGAAGAGACCCAAAAAGGTCCTACAAATCATTCCCTTCTGCAAACTGCTCTTTCATCATTTCTTATATTTGGATTTTAATGACAGTAAAAAAATCAAAACATGGTGGTAGGGTGGGGTGTGCAGAAAGAGTGCAGAAGGTCTCTGAGCTAGCCAGTGTTAATGTAGGAAACATTAACAGTCAAGGAAAATGCTATGATTTTTGGAAACATGATTTCTTTCATTTGGAAGTTTTCCACAAAAGGTTGAAACAAAAAGACACAATAATTGATATTTCCTTATACCATTTCTGAGTTAAAGTGTATCATTAATGGTGGTTTGCTGGCCAATACCTCCATGGAAAAGTAAAGAAATCTTCTTTAAGAGAAGCAGACTTCGTTTACATCTCTTTTCTCCTAAACTTTTGCTGAGAATAGGCAAAGGAACATTTTTCCAAATCTCTTCTGTGCCGCTCAATAAGTAGCTACTTGGAGCATGAAGCATGTGTCTTATGTTGCCTCTTCCAACAGTTACCATGCCTGAGTTGGGGAACACTCATCCAATGGATGTTTTTTGTTTTGGTCAGCTGGCTGTCTGACACATGTGGAAACCCATCACCATGCCTAAAAATGGGAGGATTTCCTGCCCCCAAAAACTGGCCTGTCTTTCCAAGTCCTGCTGATAAGCCAGCCTGGCTGTCCTAGAGTACTGAAGACCCACCTTAGCTCAGGAACCAGACTACCGCGATTGCCACAGAGGGTTTGGCTTGTTTCCAACATCGTCTAGGAGCTAGTTCAGCTCCAAGGAGACCCCACTTACCACCCCATTGCTTCCCCCGCCCCCCGGAGGATAGATAGACATGGATGTGTTAAAAGGACTTTTCTCATGTTCTGCATCATAGGTTTGCTCACTGGGTGCTGGCAGCATCAGCCTCCACGGCTGCACACTCAAACTCACGAAGCCAGTCAGGAACCTCGGTGTCTCGTTTGACACTGAACTGTCCTTTATCCCCCACATCCGTGCCATGTCCGGCACTGCCTACCACCACCTCCGCAACATTGCTAGACTCCCCCACTGCCTCACTTTTCAGGCTGTCTAAACTCTAATAGCTCAACCTCGCTCAACCTCTCCCTCCACATCAACTCCCCCACTCACAGTCACGGCCACCCATTCGACTTGGTGTTCACCCGGGGCCTCAGTGTCTCGGATGTCACTATCACCGACAAGACCGTCTCCGACCACCACTTCATCTCCTTCACCACCTCCACCCCCCTCCCCACCTCCACCAGACCCACCACCATCTTCTACCGCCCCTGGAAGAAGTTACCCCCACAATCCCTAACCGCTGCCTTGGAGTCCTCTGAACTCCTCTCCCTCTGGCCTTCAACCCTCACTGACCCCTCTTCTGCTCTCACCCTCCTCCACAACACCCTCTCCTCCACACTTGACACTCTTGCCCCCATCACCTCCCGTACTGTCTCCTACTCTCGCTCCTCCCCTGGTTCACCACACACCTCCGCTCACTGAAGAGCCAGGTGCGGGCCGCTGAACGCACCTGGGTCAAATCTGGCCTAACGGTCCACCGACAAATCTGGCTGGACCTCCTCAAAATCTACCGCTCCACTCTAGCCTCGGCCAAATCGTCCTTCTACTCCAGGATAATCCTGGAGGCGAAGAACAACCCAGGCTACTGTTCTCTACCACATCCCGACTCCTGCGTCCCCCCCGCCACCCCGCGCAGGTCATCTCCTCCAACCTTCACTGCGAGGAGATGCTGGATTTCCTTGAATCCAAAATCAAGGGAATTCGCTCCGCGGTCACTTCCCCTCCAACATCCACCCACCCCCACCCCTTCCCTCCCACACTCCGACTCCTACCCATCCTCCCCTACACACTTTCGTACCCGTTTCCCCACCCTCTGTCACCAAACTCATCCTATCCCTGAAACCCACCACCTGCTCCCTTGACCCCATCCCCACTCCACTCCTTATCTCCCAGCTCCACCTCCTTGCCCCACATATCACAGACATCGTCAACCTGTCCCTCTCCTCTGGCTCTGTTCCCATTCCCTTAAAAACTGCCACCATCACTCCCACCTTGAAAAAACCCTCCCTTGATGCGTCGCAGCTATCAAGCTACCGGCCCATCTCCAACCTCCCCTTCCTGTCCAAGGTCCTGGAACGAGTTGTCGCCTCCCAGCTGCGCTCTTTCCTCTCCACCCATTCATTATTCGAACCCCTTCAGTCGGGTTTCCGTGTTGCCCATAGCACAGAAACTGCCCTGGTCAAGGTCACCAATGACATCCTGACCATCTGTGACCAGGGCTCCCTCTGCCTCCTCGTCCTCCTCGACCTATCGGCAGCATTCGATACGGTCGACCACACTATCCTCCTCCACCGCTTGTCCTCCCACCTCAACCTTCAAGGCCCTGTCCTTGAGTGGTTTAGGTCGTACCTCTCCCACCGTCTTCACTTTGTCTCCACGAATGGTTTTTCCTCCGGCCCCCGCACTGTCTCGTGCGGTGTCCCTCAGGGCTCTGTCCTCGGTCCCCTCCTCTTCACCCTCTATATGCTCCCCCTTGGTGACATCATCCGCAGACATGGGGTTAACTTCCACATGTATGCGGATGACACCCAACTCTACCTTTCCTCCTCTACCCTCAACTCCACGACCACCGATGTCCTGACAGCTGCCTGTCCGACATCGAGTCCTGGACGAGACACAACTTTCTTCAGCTCAACGTGCGTAAAACTGAGGCCCTCCTGATTGGCTCACGTCAGCGCCTCCGCACCTCAGGCGCTGACAGCATCAGCATCCAAGGCTGCACTCTCCACCTCTCAAAGCCAGTCAGGAACCTGGGGTTCTGTTCGACCCTGAGCTGTCCTTTCTCCCTCATATCCGCGCCACAACTGGCACCGCCTTCCATCACCTCCGGAACATCGCCAGACTACGGCACTACCTCACCCCTCACGCTGCTGAAACTCTGGTCCACGCCTTTATCACCTCAAGGCTGGACTATGGGAACTCTCTCCTCGCCGGCCTTCCCGGCACCTCCCTCCACAAGCTGCAGGTCATTCAGAACTCTGCAGCTCGTGTACTGTCCCGCACCAGGACCACATCACTCCCACCCTCGCTCGCCTCCACTGGCTCCCCATCCCCCAGAGGATCGAATTCAAGATCCTCACCCTCACCTACAAGGCCATTCACGGCCTTGCTCCCTCCTACCTCTCCGACCTACTATCCCCCTACCTACCTGCCCGTACCCTCCGTTCCTCTGGCTCCGGTCTGCTCCACATCCCCCGCCCCAACCGCCCTACCATCGGTGGCCGGGCCTTCAGCCTCTCAGCCCCTAGGCTCTGGAACTCTATCCCCCAGTGCCTTCACCGCCTCCTCCCTTTCCTCCTTCAAGGCCGGTTTCAAGACCTTTCTCTTTGACCGTGCCTTCAGCTCCCCTCTCGACTCTCTACCCCTTCCTCGCTCCCTCCCTTCCCTCCCCTCACCCTTACCATTTCCCCCCAATGCTCGGGTCCTGACCCAACTGTACAGCGCCTTGGGACGTCCTCCCGACGTGAAAGGCGCTCTATAAATGGAATCTTGTTGTTGTTGTTGTTGTAGATGCATTCATCACATCAAGGCTCGATTATGGAAACTCCCTCCTCATCGGCCTTCCCAACTCTTCCCTTCACAAGCTGCAGATCGTCCAAAACTCTGCAGCTCGTGTACTCCCACGCACCATGCTCCGTGACTCCATCACTCACCCCCCTCGCCCTACTTGTGGAGTCCTGTAGCTCAGTGGTTAGAGCACTCGCTTTGCAAGCGAGAGACCTGAGTTCAATTCCAGGCAGGGCGAAACCTTGGGCAAGTTTCCTTACTCCACACGCCTAATAATAATCCCTCAAAAAAAAAACAATAATAAATTGGTCATTTTCAATCTACCACTGTTTGTGGGACATTGCTGTGCGCAATTGGCTGCCGCGTTTGCCCACAAATATACAGTCAATTCACTTTACAGTGTGTTCTGTGAAGCGCTTTGGGACGTCCTTCCGACGTGAAAAGCGCTATATCAAATGCAAGGATTATTATTATTATTATTATTATTATTATTACTCGACTGGCTCCCCATCCCTCAAAGAATCAAATTTAAGATCCTCATCCTCACTTTCAAGGCCATCCATGACCTTACCCCTCCTACCTCTCTGACCTGTTGACTCCCTACCGACCTGCCCACTCCCTCTGTCAGCGGGCTCCGG